CACTCGGGAGGCAGAGGCAGGTGGATCTCTGTGAGTTCGAGGCCAGCCTGGTCTCCAAAGCGAATTCCAGGAAAGGCGCAAAGCTACACAGAGAAACCCTGTCTTGAAAAAAACCAAAAAAAAAAAAAAGAGAATCAAAAATCTCCACCCAAATAACAAAATCCACCATTAAGTTTGCCTATATGGTGACAATAATCCCATTTCTGAGCAGTGTCTGTTGAAGCAAGTACTGATACTTTTAGCAGGCTTTCTCTGGGCCACCAACCACCTCCCAAGTCATGACACAGAAACTTATTAATTATGAATGCTCAGCCTTAGCTTGGTCTTGTCCCACCAGCTCTTATAACTTATTTTAACCTGTTTCTCTTCATCTACCTTTGGCCTTGGGGTTTTTTACCTTTATTTTATTCTGTATGTCCTACTTTCCTACTTCCTCCATGTCTGGCTGGCTGGCTGCTACCTGGCTAGCTGACTTTAGGCATCTCCCTCTCTTCCTCCCTTGTTCTCTCTCTCCTTTCAAGTCTAGATTCCTCCTCCTTCTTATTATCTCTGCTGGCCAGACCTGCCTATCTCTTTACTGCCTAGCTTTTGGCCATTCAGCTTTTTATTAGACCAATCAGGTACCTTAGGCAGGCAAAGCAACACATCTTTCCATTGTTAAACAAATGCAGTACAAACAAATGTAATACACCTTTATATAGTTAAAGTAATATTCCACAACAGACCCTCCCTGTGTAATGAATCGAACTTTGTGACCCTTGACTTGAACTTTGTCAGCATTCCTTTGTGGTTGAAATATTGTGTACCCCAATAAACTTATCTAGGGGTCAGAGAACAGAACAGCCACTATATTAAACATAGAGGTCAGGCAGTGGTAGCACATGCCTTTAATCCTAGCCTTCCGGAGGCAGAGATCCATTTGGCTCTCTGTGAGTTCAAGGCTACACTGCAAACAGCCAGGCTGCTTGGGGTGATGGAACTGCTGTAGCAGAGAGAACAGGAAATTCAGGAGAAACTATAAAGCAAATATTTTGGCAAACTTCTATAAATGAACAAAGACCAAAATTAAAAATATAAATAAATGAGATTCTCTTGGAAGGTTTAGTAGACACAGGTACAGATGTTACCATTATAGCACTAGAATTTTGGCATCTAAATTGGCCTCTTCAGGAGGTAAATGTTCAGCTGTTAGGGATTAGAACATTATCTCAAGTGAAACAGAGTGCAAGATGGCTTGAAAGTATAGGTCCAGAAGGACAGAGAGGAAAATTAAAGCCATATGTGGCTAATATAGCTATGAACTTATGGGGCCGTGATCTATTACAACAATGGAATACTCAGAATAACATTCCTCTAAACTCAGAAACAAACCATAAACTAACACATTTATTAGAGAAATATTAGGAGGTATTATTATAAAGAATGGTCACCAGCCATCCAGATTGTACAAGAACAAGGTACAACAACTGCTGATCTTTCAAAGACATCAACCGCTCTACCTTTAAAATGGTTAACAGACAAGCTTGAATGGGTTCAGCAATGGCCTTTAACAACAGAGAAACTGCAGGCTTTAGAAGAGCTGGTACAAGAGCAGTTAAATTCCCAGCATATTGAAGAATCAACCAGCTGGTTAAGAGATATTAATGGAGGATTCTCCCACAGGGAATGTAAAATAGCCCAACCCTGTGCCAATATTTTGTATGACAGCTATTGAAAGTAATATGTAAACAATTTCCTAAATCCATAATTTATCATTACATGAACAATATTTTACTAGCTGATTCAAATGCAGATACTTTAGAAAGAATGTTTGAAAAGTAAAGAAAATTTTGCCTTCTTGGGGATTTCAAATTGCTCCTGAAAAGATACAAAGAGGAGAGTCTATTAATTATTTAGGATATAAACTAGGTCTACAAAAAATTAGACCCCAAAAGGTGAAAATTAGGAGAGATTGATTATGGAATCTTAATGACTTTCAAAGATTATTCGGAGACATTTCCCATCTATGAACTGTTGTTGGGATAAAAAATGATGAACTAGGGCTGGAGAGATGGCTCAGAGGTTAAGGGCACTGTCTGCTCCTCCAAAGGTCCTGAGTTCAATTCCCAGCAACCACATGGTGGCTCACAACCATCTGCAATGAGATCTGGTGCCCTCTTCTGGCCCACAGGGATGTGTGCAGGCAGAACACTGTATACAAAATAAATAAATAAATCTTTAAAAAAAAAATGATGAACTAGCCAGGTGGTGGTGGCGCACATCTTTAATACCAGCACTCCGGAGGCAGAGGCAGGTGGATCTCTGTGAGTTTGAGGCCAGCCTGGGCTACAGAGTGAGTTCCAGGATAGGCTCCAAAACTACAAAGAGAAACCTTGTCTTGAAAAAAAAAATGAACTGAGTAATTTGTTAAAAACCACACAGACACACATAAATAAATAGTCTTATAGCTTCATTTACAAAGTGAATTTTTTGGCCAGGGGGTGGTGATGGTGCACGCCTTTAATCCCAGCACTCTGGAGGCAAGGGCAGGTGGATCTCTGTGAGTTCGAGGCCAGCCTGGTCTACAGAGTGAGTTCCAGGAAAGGCACAAAGCTACACAGAGAAACCCTGTCTCGGAAAAAAAAAAAAAAAAAAAAAAAAAAAAAGAATTTTTTGTGTGGGATGTTTTCAAGACAGGGTTTCTTTGTGTAGCCTTGGCTATTCTGGAACTAGCTCTGTAGATAAGGCTAGTCTCCAATTCACAGAGATCCACCTGCCTCTGCCTCCTGATTGCATGCACCACCACCACTTGGCTACAAAAGGAAATTTTTATGAGAAATAGTAAACTAGCTCTCTCCCTCCCTCTCTTTTTTACTTAATAATTTTATAACATTTATTTGTGTATGTGTGTGTTTGTGTGTGTGTGGGAGTGTGCGTGCACAGGCATGCCCAAGTGTCACAGCTTTTGGAAACCTGTTCTCTCCTTCTACTATGTTGGGCCCTAGGATGAAACTTTGGCTGTAAAGCTTGTCAGCAGGGCACCTTTACCCACTAACTGTCTTGCCGGCCATTTAACGTAACGTCAAATGTTTACTTAATCTTTCAGCTTGCTTGTAAATTGTATCCTTTGAACATTGTACTTCAGTCACAAAATCGGTCCTGACGTGCTTGCATGAGGCCCTGGGTTAGGTCCCTAGTACCAAAACACTAAAAGCCACAACATCAGCCAGACCCAGTAGTATGTTCCTGTAGTTCTAGCTACTTAGGAAGTTGAGATAGGAGCAGGAGGAGTTCAAGCCTTGTCTGGGAAACTTAGCAAGACCCTGTCAAAAAAATAATAATGATAAAAAGGGCTGGTGATATAGCTCTGTGATAAAACATTTGCCCAGCATGTGTAAGGCCTGCTATAGCAAGGAAAGAAGACACATGCCCTCCTTACCCCTCCCATAGCTTTAAATCTACCAAGTTCCCTATTTTCCTTAAAAAACCCCACTGTGGATTATGCTCATTGTTAACAACAAAGCTGACTGGCTGATAGCTGGGCAGGAAGAGCCAGACTAGGAGAATTCTGGGAAGAGGAAGGGCGAAGTTAGAGAGTTGCTGGCAAATGTAGAGAAGCAAGATGGGAATGCTGTACTGAGAAAAGGTACCAAGCCACGTGGCTAAACACAGATAAGAATTATGGGTTAATTTAAGTGTAAGGGCTAGTTGGTAATAAGCCAGAGCTATCAGCCAAGCATTTATAATTCATATTCAGCCCCTGAGTCAGTTATTTAGGAACAGGCAGACAGGACAGAAAATATCTGTTTACAAAACCCTTTCTTCAATCTAAATCATCCCAGTATTCTTCAGTACAGTGTAAGCCAAGATCCTGACTTCACCTGGGTAGAGGTCTTGTTAATCCCGAAATTCACTGGAGAAAAACTAGTTCCACCATGTTGGCCAAATTAAAGCAAACATTAAAATGCTAAATATTGATCAAGATGAATAATGGTCAGGACTATCACTTGGAAACTTTCTAGGTGAGTAGCCCGGAGACAATGTTGGCAAGGTTTATATGGACAAAACCTATAGGCCACCGTACTTTCCCATGAGGCTTTGCTGTTATTTTATTTTATTATTTTCTTTCAAGAACTCTAATTCCCAGAGTCCCGGGAAGTTACCTGGTATTTGGGCAGGTGTGGCTCACAGGTTAACTTCAGGTCTCACAGTCTCTGAGAGAACTCAGGCTACACAGCAGGCAAGGCTGGGCTGCATCTCCTGCAGTCTGACAAGATCTCTAAGGCTGAAAAAGAAAACCAAATCATGGAATAGTGGTTTATACCTGAGTATGCTGAGTCAGGAGGATTGTCAGGATTGTTTGTTTGTTTATTTTTAAGACACCATTTCTCCTCTTTTATGTAGTTCTGGCTGTCCTGCAACTCACATTGCAGACCAAGATGCTCTGAACTCACAAAGATTCTCCCTACCCCTGCCGCCTGAGGACTTAAGGCCTGCGCCACCACACCCAACTCAATGGCAACTCTTTTTTTGTTTGGGTTTTTGTTGTTGTTATTGTTTTCAAGACAAGGTTTCTCTATGTAACCCTGGCTATCCTGGAATTGGCGCTGTAGACCAGGCTGACCTCGAACTCACAGAGATCCGCCTGGCTCTGCCTCCCAAGTGCTGGGATTAAAGGCGTGTGCCACCATTGCCCAACTCTTAAATAAAACATAAAAACATGGCTGGCAATGTGTAGAACTACGCTTACCACACGTGAATCCTGGGTTCCATCTCATAGTGCTTTAAAGAAGAGAAGGGAAGGGGAGGGGGGGAGTAGGAGAGGGGAGAGGAAAGAAAAAAGAAAACCACCAACTCTCTCCCTTTCCTGAGCCCAATCCCCGCCCCCAGCTTTGAACCCAGAAACTACAATTCCCGTAACGCCCTGGAAAACATGCGATTAGCCTCCACTAGAACTACATCTCCCGGCGTGCCTCGGACTTTGCGTAACTTGCTGAGGAGAGAACTACATCTCCCGGCAGGCCACGGGAGGAAGGGTGTCAGAGACCCGGGGAGCGGCTCTGGGCTGCTCGGCATTTCCCAGAGTTAGGGAGCTCTTTGAGGAGGATGGCGCTGTCGCGGGGAGCCAGCGCCCCGGACCCCGACGATGTCCGGCCTCTCAAGCCGTGTCTGCTGCGCCGCAACCACAGCCGCGATCAGCACGGCGTGGCGGCCTCCTCCCTCGAGGAGCTGAGGAGCAAAGGTTGGCTGCTGAGGGGACCGGGAGGGGTCGGGAAGGTGACCCCGGAGCCTAGGGGCTGCAGCGGCCCACGTGGGTGCGGTGATTGACAGGTTTTGGGCTGTGCAGATCCAGGCTCACTGGCCTGATGTGGGATCACGCGGAGTCTAGCGTATTCTCTCTCGTCTGGCTCCCAGAGGCGGTGCCCTGGTGGGGTGGGGATGGGTGTGCACAGTCAGTACCTGTTCCATTAGAAGGCAGCAGCCAGTACCTGCCTCCTGGAGTCCGTGCAAGGAACGTGAGCTGACCCAGGTTCTGAGCCTGACTATACTGCTCGACCTTGCTCGACTTATCTTTGGACCCTCAGTTTTTCAGCAGCGTACTGGGTGCATGCCCAGCCTTGCCTCAAAGGATTGTTGGCGCTCTCAGACGAGATGGTACGTTCGAACTACTTACAAGCAGTATTATCCCGTAGCTACAAATTAAGTACCCGAAGAAGTTCTGCGGGTCTTCATGTAAGCTAGCACCGGGCCTGTAGTCATAGTGTGGGCAGCGCTTCCTGAGAGCCCCTGAGACCCAGGAGCAGGGTGTGATTTGGTGACAGGGATTCTGCGTTTGCATTTCACCCTGGCACTGGGCTACTTCAATTTTAGTGCCACTTCAGTTGCATTGGCTGGGTGTCCTTGGCACAGAGAGGCCCGTGTTCTCTGCAGCTGAGCCTAGAGGAGACTACTGGCTGTCCTATTTTGGGTGATGACAGCATTGTGGAAAGCCTATTGCCTGGCAATAATAAAAATGAAAGATTCTGAGACAAGCTTCTGCCGCTGGTGTATTTTCCTTTGGTTAGAACAGCTGCGAAGGAAGTTATCGACGAAGAAAAGCAAGCACTTTTCTTTCTTTTTTCTGACATTTGATATGTACAGTTTAAGAGGACCACTAAATAAGTGAGTAAGAGACAGCATTACTTGTCCACAAGCAATTAGGCCAGGTTCTGGCTGGGCGCTTCTTTATGTCGGCTCAAATGACTCCTATGTCAGGGTGCAGAGTAGTTGTGGGAAACAGTTCCAGGAGCCACTCTGGGTTTAAATCTCACTTTGGGGTGCTGGAAAGATGGATCAGCTGTTAAAAAGCACTGGCTGCTCTTGCAGAGAATCTGGGTTCAGTTTTAGGCACCCAAGTGACAGTTCCCAACCATCTATAACTCCTGTTCCAGGGCATCCAACGCCCTCTTCTGGCCTCCTTGGGCACAGACACAGAAATTCAGAAAAAAACATTCATGCATATAAAAATCTAAAAAATAAATCTCAACTGTGCTACTTACTGTGGGATTTTGAATAGCTTACTTACTCTATCTGAGCTTGGGTTCATTGTCTGTAAATCGGGACTAATAATAGTAACTCCCTTATAGGATTAGTAGTTTACCTGAAAAGCAGTTACAACAGTACCAGACATATGAGAAATGTTATGTTACATTAGCGCTAAGAGTTATGGTTATGATTTATCTACTGTTATGTCCCAGCATTGCTAGTTAGCTCTTGGGGCATACATGAGAGTACTAAGAGGGATGTCATTTCCTTAAGATGTTTGTCACCCGCCATACATTTTATTCTTCTCAGCTTGCGAAATACTGGCCATTGATAAGTCCCTGACACCGGTCACCCTGGTCCTGGCAGAGGACGGTACAATAGTGGACGACGATGACTACTTCCTTTGTCTGCCTTCCAATACCAAGTTTGTGGCGTTGGCTGGTAATGAGAAGTGGACATACAACAATTCGGGTAAGAACTTCAGGCCGAACGGCCAATATATGTCGCCATTTATTTGGCTGCACCGGTGAGCAGTTGCTGTTGGTCTGGCTGTCTAAGCAGTTGCACGGCAGATGTTACCTGAGCTCCTCTGTGTGCCAGGCACAGTGCTAAGGGATGTGTATGAGTGAGACATCTCACCCAGACCCGCAGCAACTGAAACCCAGCTTGTCAATGGAACTGGGGGTGTGAATCATGGCTCTGTCATTTCTAGCCAGGTGACTGGGCAAATTGCACAGCTTGCCAGGACCTCATTGTAATGATACTTACAGCATCTGTCTATCCCGACTGTGACAACCAAGAATGTCTCCAGACACTGTCCAAGGCACACCATATTAGTGATTGCTCTTATCTGGCACACAGTAAGGTCTCAGTAGAGGTGAATGATGCCATCATCATCCCTAAATATTCAGATTAACACTCATCGTAGAGCTAGAGAAGTGTCTTTAAGAAAGACCATTGCTACTCCATGGAGGAAATCACCCTTCAGCCATGGCTTTCCCAGCCACCGTTGTGCTTGCTGTCCCAGTTAAGGAAAGAATCAGCCCTCCCCCTCGCCACCCCCAGAAGTGCTGGTCAGAGCGAGTATTTTCAACACAGCCAAGCATGGTGGCGGGCACCTGTGATCCCAGAACCTAGGAGTCAGAGGCAGGAGCATCAGAAGTTATAGGCTAACCTCAACTACAGAATGAGTTCAAGCCTAGCTCGGGCTACAGGAAACCTTGGCGTCCCACTTCCCAAAAAAAGAACACAGCCAAGCACAAAGAGTAATCAAAGAGAGCTGTGGTAGAACCTTTGACCCATGTGTGACCATACCATCGGGCTGAGTGGCTACTGCTTCCCTTATTCCTTTGGGCTGGCTCTATAGACCAGGCTAGCCCCAGACTTGCTGCAGTCCTCCTCCCTCAGCCTCCTGAGGGCTGGGATTAAAGATGTGTGCCACCACCTTAGTGCAATTGCTTCTCTCTGAAGAATACTGTACAGTTTCCCACAGAGATAGGGCATGGGACACAGAAGACAGAAGAGAGAACGTTAAGGCCTGAGGTGGGATTAGCTTGCCTGTGAATCCCTGAGAAAAGCTGCATCCCTGTCATTACATCATCCTGAGTGGTCGGGCAGAAGGACGTGCTCTTTCTCCATAGTGCTGTGTGTTGGGGTTGAAGGCAAAGCGGCCCCTGAGTTGCTGACCTGGCTGGCATCCTCTCTGTCAGATGGAGGAACAGCCTGGGTTTCCCAAGAGTCCTTCGACGCTGACGAAACAGACAGCGGGCCAGGGGTCAAGTGGAAGAACGTGGCCAGGCAGCTGAAAGAGGATCTGTCCAGCATCATCCTGCTGTCAGAAGAGGACCTCCAAGTGAGTCTCCTCCACAACCCATAACACTCACCAGCCTTTGCTGTCCTAGTACCTTAGGTTCTGTGCCCCCTTTTCTCCTGCCGTAGTAATTCCATTTTTTTAATTGTCTGTTGATAACTTGTTTTTTTCTTTTAATTGTCTATTTATTTTCAGGGTGTGTGTGTGTGTGTGTTTGTGTGTGTGGTTTTTTGTTTTGTTTTGTTTTTTGTTTTTCGAGACAGGGTTTCTCTGTACCTTTGGAGCCTGTCCTGGAACTCATTCTGTAGACCAGGCTGGTCTCCAACTCACAGAGATCCACCTGCCTCTGCCTCTCAAGTGCTGGGATTAAAGGCGTGTGCCACCACCGCCCAGCTTTTTTGATTTTTTTGAGACAGGGTTTCTCTGTGTCAGAGATCCACCTGTTAGTTTTTTTTTTTTTTTTTTTTTTTTTTTTTGGTTTTTCGAGACAGGGTTTCTCTGTGTAGTTTTGCGCCTTTCCTGGGACTCACTTGGTAGCCCAGGCTGGCCTCGAACTCACAGAGATCCGCCTGGCTCTGCCTCCCGAGTGCTGGGATTAAAGGCGTGCGCCACCACTGCCCGGCCCACCTGTTAGTTTTATGCGGCACAATGTTATTCATTAAGCGTCGCTGTTGAGGTCATGTAGCAACACTACCTACCTCTGCCTTCCGAGTGCTGGTTGTTTGTTTGGACATAGAGTAGAGTCTCACTATGTAGCTCTGGCTGTCCTGGAACTCACTCTGTAGATGAGGTTAGCCTCAAACTCACAGAGATCTACCTGCCTCCACCTCCTGAGTGCCGGGACTAAAGGTGTGCGCCCCTATACCTGGCTAAGATTTATTTTTATTTATATGTATGTGTGTGTGTGTGTGTGTGTGTGTGTCTCTGTGGGTGTCCATAGAAGCTAGAAAACTACATTGGATCTTCTGGAGTTGAAGTTAAAGGTGGTTGTGAACTGACCTGGGTTCTGTGAACCAAACTCCAGTTGTCTGAAAAAGCAGCAAGCGTACTTAACCACTGAGCCCTGTCTTGGTTTTTTGAGATGGGGTCTCCTGTGTTGGTTTTAAATGCGGCGCTTTTACCATGTAAGCAGAGGTCAGAGGCACGACAAAACCCAGTATCAGAGCTTTGTTAGAAATGGGGGGGACAAAAGAGACTGTGGCCAGGCCTGGGACAGAGACACATGCAGGAGAGGGGGGAGGAACAGAAGAGGAGGGAGCAGTTTGTATCCCACTTACTAAGGATTCCCCTGCACATGCACAGGTGGACTTAAGGAGCCATGCCATGCATGCAAAATGGCGTAGCAAAGATGGAAGACCCCTTACTTAGCTACTGAACTACGCATGTGCAGTCATATAGCTGGAGTGGCAGAATCCTAACATCTTGTAGCCCAGGCTGGCTCCTCCTGCTCCACCTCCAAACTGCTGCCATTGTAAGCATGTACCACCTCACTGTTGTTTTCTGAGTTGGTTTATTTAGTGCTAGGGATTGAGCATGCTGAGTCCTGTTCTACCACTGAGCTACCCTTCTAACCATTCACCCCCAATAGTTCTTAATTCGTAAGTAAGTCCTACAACTAAGAACCTTCATTTTATGAGTCTCCTCTAAAGTGGTCTTTTTCAACATCTGTTATTTTATTTTATGTGTATGAGTGTTTTGTCTGCATGTCTGTCTGTGCACCATGTGCATGCCTGACGCCCTTGGGTACCTGAAGGTGTCCCATCCCCTAGAACTGGAATTGTGAACAGCTGTTAACGGCAGGTCTGCCTAGAAACCCATCTTGGGTCTTCTGGATCAGCAAGTGCTCCTTGCCTCTGACCTGTCGCCAATCGTTTTTCTACATTCAGTATGCAGCAGACTCAGGAGTGGACTTTTTCAAATGTGAATGCCCAGGCCCCACCCTAGACCTATTCAAGTGAATTCCCAGAGTGGTATGCAGGGATGGTGGGGACTACTGTGTAGATCAGAGATGACAAGGAGGTTCCTTTCTGGTAACCCTTTAAACCTACGTGCTTATTTTGAATAAGTAAGATAAATACATCTACACAGTTCAAAATTCAAAAGGTATAAAAAGATAAACTGGTATAGTGGCACATGCCTTTAATCCCAGCACTCAGGAGGCAGAGGCAGGAGGATCTCTGTGAGTTTGAGGCCAGCCTGGGCTACAGAGTGAGATCCAGGACAGCCTGGGCTACAGAGTGAGTTCCAGGACAGCCAGGGCTACACAGTGAGGCCCTGTCTGGAAAAAAAAATAATAATAAAAAGATAATGTCCTAGGTGAATGCACCCCTGCTGACTAGATCAGCAAATTGTGGAGAGTGCGTCCATAAAAAGGATGGGATCTTAGGGCTGAGGAGACACATACAAGGATGTGAGTTCAGTCCTCAGAAGCCATGTGAGAAAGCCAGCTGTGATGGTACACACCTGGAATCTCAGGACTGGAGAGGCAGACAGCTGTGATGGTGCACACCTGGAATCTCAGGACTGCAGAGGCAGACAGCTGTGATGGTGCACACCTGGAATCTCAGGACTGCAGAGGCAGACAGGTGGATCCCTGGAGTTTGATGGCTAGCCAGCCTCACCTACTGGGTCAGGGGAAGACAGAAGAGGTGGATAGTACTGGAGGAACAATAGCCGAGGCTGTCCTCTGGCCTCCACCTGCATGTACACACCCAAACACGCACAAAAAGGAGTGGTCTTACCGCACGGTACAACACCAATGAATCTTTTTTAAAATTTAGTAGTGTGTGTGTGTGTGTGTGTGTGTGTGTGTGTGTGTGTGTGTGTGATGGGAGAGACTTGCCTCTCAGGGGCACGTGTGTGGAAGGAGGAGAATGACTTAGTAGAGTCAGTCTCCCCTTCCACCATTATATAGGTCCCGGGAATTGAACTCAGTCCTCAGATTCGCACAGGAAGCACGTCATCCTCTGAACCATCTTGCCAGCCCAACATCAGCGAATCTTGAAAGCACTGTAGTGAGTGAAAGAAGTCAGACAATAGACCATGTCATCTATGAGTGCATCATCTAAAATTGTTTATTTATTTACTTATTCTGGTTGTTTTCTTTGGCACAAGTCTTGCTTTGAAGGCCTGGCTGGCCTTGATCTTTTTACATAGCTCAGGTTGGCCTCAAACTTGCACTAAGCAATCTTGCTGCTTCCGCCACCCAAGTGCTGGATCTTCAGGTGTCCATCACCACATCTGGCTCTGTGTGATTACAGTTATATGAATTTGCTAGCCTTTGCAATACCATGGAGATTAAAAAGTAGATTAAGCTGAGCATGGTAGTACAAGCATTATACCCCAGTACTTGGGAGACTGAGACAAAAGGATCATGAGTGTGTGGCCAGCCTGCACTACATAGTAAGACCCTGACTTAAAAACAAATAAACAGGGGCTGGAGAGATGGCTCAGTGGTTAAGAGCACCAACTGCTCTTCCAGAGGTCCTGAGTTCAATTCCCAGCAACCACATGGTGGCTCACAACCACTTGTAATGAGATCTGGTGCCCTCTTCTGGCCTGCAGGGACACATGCAGGCAGAACACTGTATACATAATAAATAAATAAATCTTTAAAAAAAAAAAAACAAATAAACAAGCTGGGCGGTGGCGGTGCACACTTTGAATCCCAGCACTCATGAGGTAGAGGAAGGCGGATCTCTGAGTTCCAGGACAGCCAGGGCTCCACAGAGAAACCCTGTCTCAAAACAAAACAACAAATAAAGTAGATAAATGATTGCACTGATAGGAGCTAGGGAGTGATTTCTAATGAGTTTGGTTTTAGATGGTAAATTTTTTTTCTCAGTGCTGGGATGAGGCTATATACATGCTTCATCGCTGAGCTGCACCCCCAGGCGGTGGGGAAAATAGTCTAAGATGGGTTATGGTGGTGGGATATGCTAAAACTCCCCAAATGGAAGACTCAGATGGACACTCTGGAAAAGCCTGCGCCCTTCCGCAGTCCCCTTCTCCCTCCCTGAGACCACTGATCTGCCTGTTTCCCACTCCAAGGTATTTTGCCTACAAACAAGTATGTGTATGTTTTCTCTTCTTTTTTTATGTATGCAGTTATATCAACTTTTTATTATTTATTTATTTTTATTATTTTTTAAATTGTATGTGTATGTGTATTGGGTGTAGGTTCCTTCAGAGGCACTGAATCCCCTGGAGCTGAGGTTTCCCATGTAGGTGATGGGAACTAGACTCGGGTCCTCTGGAAGAGCAGTACATGGTCTCACTGCTGAGCCATCTCTCCAACCCTGTGTGTGTGTGTGTGTGTGTGTGTGTGTGTGTGTGTGTGTGTGTGTGTGTGTGTGTGTATACAGGGAAGTGCTCTCCTGTGCATGCTTATGTGGAGTCCAGAGGTCCATATTAGGTATCTTCAGCCATTTTGCAGAGTTGCTTATCTATAAAATAAATTTGGAGTGTAATTGCTCAATTAAAGAGTATGCCCATTATGCCGGGCGGGCGTGGTGGCGCACACCTTTAATCCCAGCACTCAGGAAGCAGAGGCAGACCGATCTCTGTGAGTTTGAGGCCAGCCTGGTCTACAAAGTGGAATTCAGGACAGCTAGAGCTGTTAGACAGAGAAACCCTGTCTCAAAAAAAAAGTAAGATAATCAAGTTATAAAAAAAAAAAAAAAAGAAAAGAAAAATTATTTGCCAGGCGGTGGTGGTGCACGCCTTTAATCCCAGCACTTGGGAGGCAGAGCCAGGCGGATCTCTGTGAGTTCGAGGCCAGCCTAGGCTACCAAGTGAGTTCCAGGAAAGGCACAAAGCTACACAGAGAAACCCTGTCTCCGGAAAAAAAAAAAAAAGAGTATGCCCATTTAAAACATTGGCAGGTTCCCAAGAGATAACACATTGAAAGCCTCAGATCAAGAGAGCACCACATGGGGGCGTCGGGGCCAGTGTTCTGGACAGAGAGAAGGCAGGAACCTTTTCAGTTTTCTTCTGGGTGTGACTGAGTGCCTATGCATGGGTGAGTGCAGGTGCCCACAGAGGCCGTCAAGAGTCAGGACCCCTAGAGTTGGTGTTCCAGGAGATGGTAAGCTGTCTGCTGTAGATGCTGGGAATGAAACTTGAATTATCTGCAAGAGCAATGTGCATTCAACCTCTGAGCCATCTCTCCAGCCCTTTCATTTTTATCGATTTATTTATTTATTTATTTAAGAATCAAAGGGTAGGAGCTGGAGCAATGGCTCAGAGGTTAAGAGCACTGGCTGCTCTTCCAGAAGACCTGAGTTCAGTTCCCGGCAACATTATAATGGCTCACAACCATCTATAATGAGAGATCTGGTGCCCTCTTCTAGCATGCAGGCAGAACATTGTATACATAATAAATAAATCTTTAAAAAGAAAAAAGAATCAAAGGGTAGAAGGCATTGTAGTTCATGCCTGCAACCCTAGCACTTGGGGGCTAAGAAGGGAGGATTGCCAAACAGGCAGCCTGAAATGCAGAGCTTCCAGGCCAACCTGAGCTACAGTGGGAGACTGTTTCCAGAACAGTAGGGGCTGAGGATGTAGCACACTTGGTGGAGTCTTGCCTAGCATGCATGAAGCCCTGGCTGTAAACGACTGTTGCAACCCTGGGGGAAAGGTATCCTGACTATTGAGGGAGTCAGGCAACACTTTGAGCTGCTTAGGACAGCTCTAGCAGCTGGAGCTGCAATGGGACAGCTCAGCTCTGGAGAGAAAGGTATCCTGACTGTTCGGGAGTCAGGCTATACCTGGAGCTGGGGGGTGGTGGGGGGTAATCTCCCCGCAAGATATAGCAATCTGATTTCAGAGCCAAACTATGTTTCTTTCACTGGCTTTTCTTAGCTTTTTGGCACCAATTCTAAGACCAGGCATATTTCTTTCACTGGCTCTGATTCCAGGTTTTGTCAGGGCATATTTCTTTGGTTCTGGGTTCAGGGATAAAGTGTTTCTTTCTCTGGCTCAGGTCCCAGATCTAAGCTGTGTTTTTTTCACTGGTTCCGGGCTCCAGGGTCAGGGTGGGTTTCTTAGCTGGCTCCTTTTCCCTACACTGGCTTCCGTCCCCACAGCTTATAAACTGGCGGTGTGTGTAAAACTGTAATCTCAGTAGTATGTGTATATAAAACTATAATCTCAGTACTATGAGTTGGAGGAAGGAGGATCAGAAGTTCAAATTCATCCTCAGCTACAAATCAAGCTGAGTCTACAAGAGTCTCAAAGAAACAAAAAAGACTTTCTGAGGCTGCTACCCAAGAATAAAGGAGAAATGTGGCCTTCAAGAGGACTGGGCCATGTAGGTAATAGGAATGCCATTCCCTCATTCCTATTACTCAAGAGATGTGAACTCTTTTTGTTATGACGTTTCTTTTTCTTCTCTTTCTTTTCTTTTTTCTATTTAGTTGTATTTATTTATTTATTTTGAGGCAGGGTCTCACTATGTAGCCCTATCTACTCTAGAACTTGTTATATAGATCAAACTGGCCTGTCTCTGCTTTTCTTTACTGGGATTAAGGCATGTGCCACCATGGCCAGCCTCCTCCTCCTCCTTCTTTTGTTTAATAGTTTTTTGTTTTTTTTTTTAAATTAATTTTTTTTTTCATTTATTTTACATACCAACCATAGGCTTTTTTTCTCTTTCGAGCACAAGGATCATTTTATCATTATCCCTGTTTGCTTGTTTTCAATGCTAGAGCTCAGACCCAGGGCCTGTGGCTATTGGAAAATCACTCTGCCTCTGGATGCCACCCTGGCTTTGTGAGATTTGCATAGCAAACTAACATGCCAACAGTTTGGTCGTTTCCTTGAGAAGCAGTTTTGTTGTTGATTTGAGACCTTATGTATTCCAGACTGGCCTTAAACTCACCATGTAGCCATAGGTGACCTGAGGTAGGTTCTGGTCTTATGGCCTCTGCAGTCACAGGTTGAACATGCCATGTCAAAGCTCTGGGAGGTTACATTTTAAAACAGAATCTTGGGTGGAGAGATGGCTCAGCAGGTAAGCGAGTTTGCAGCACAGGCCTGATGACCTGAGTTCAGAGCCCCAGGTAAAAAGCCAGGCTACCTTCTCATCTCCACATGCATAAACAAAAATAAATATTTTTAAGAAACAGGGCCAGCAACATGGTTAGGTAGGTAGAGGCACTTGCCATCAAGCTGAGGGACCTCAGTTTCCCCCCTGGCACCCACATGGTAGAGAGACTCAGTTCTCCACATGTTCACCCTGGTGTCTTCATGCCTATGCTCACATACACAATATACACAGTGACAATAATAGAGTTTTAAATCTAATTGATTCATTGTGAGAATGATCAGTTGCCTCCTTCAGTTTCTATGTTGGATTTTTTTTTGGCTGGGGGAGGGGTAAGATTTAATTATTTGTGGTATATGTATGTGCTAGGAGGGAAGGTGGTATGTGCACATGAGTACAGGTGCTGGTAGAGGCCAGAGATGTGGCCTCCTGAAGCTGGAGTTACAAGAAGCTGTGAGCCACCCAGCATGGGTGCTGGGAACTGAACTCAAGTCCTCTGTAAGATTAGTGCTGAGCCATCTCTCCAGCCCATGTAGTTGAATTTCTAGATAGAAGTTTGTTTGTTTGCTTGTTTGTTTGTTTGTTTGAGACAGGGTTTCTCTGTATAGCCCTAGCTGTCCTGGAACTAGTTGTGTGGACCAGGCTGTCCTTGAACTCACAGAGATCCAACTGCCTCTACCTCTCGAGTGCTGGGATTAAAGGCATGCATCATCACTGCCCAGGCCTTAATTTAGGGGAAAAAAAATTTATTTATTTATTATGTATACAGTGTCCTGCATGCATATATGCCTGCAGGCCAGAAGAGGGCGCCAGATCTCATTACAGATGGTTGGGAACCACCACATGGTTGCTGGGAATTGAGCTCAGGACCTCTGGAAGAGCAGCCAGTGCTCTTAACCGCTGAGCCTTCTCTCCAGCCCTTAATTTTGTTTTTAATGAGACACCGATACATGATTTTCCCTGTTTTTACACTAGCATTTTGGAAATGTCAAATGTTTTTCTCTTAAAGTGACTTAAGGGCTGGAGAGATGGCTCAGAGGTTAGAAGCACTGGCTGTTCTTCCAGAGGTCCTGAGTTCAAATCTCAGCAACCACATGGTGGCTCACAACCATCTATAAGGAGATCTTGTGCCCTCTTCTGGCCTGCAGGCATACATGCAGGCAGAACACTGTATACGTAATAAACAAATCTTTAAAAAAAGAAAAAAGTGACTTGAGAGAAAGATGAAATGTTCTGAAATGGATGTGTGTGAGAGCTGCCACCTCCCTTAAGGTTTCTCAGAGCCTTTGCTTGACTGCCAGGTACTCATCGACATCCCATGTTCAGAGCTGGCTCAGGAACTTTGCCAAAGCTGTGCCACTGTCCAAGGGCTCCAGAACACACTCCAGCAGGTGCTTGACCAGAGAGAGGAGGCCCGCCAGTCCAAGCAGCTCCTGGAACTCTATCTCCGGGCCTTGGACAAGGAAGGCAACGTCCTGTCCAACCAGGAAGGTAGGACTCAGCTACTCTGGGAGCATCCTGAGGGTGGGGCCTTGTTTGCCAAGATTTCCCGGAGACGCCAGCCCCCATGCGGCCGCCCTCTCCCTGCTGGCCGCCAGCTCGGCTGACTGTGGTGTCACGGCCGCTGCCCCTCTCTCCTCTACTCTGCAGAGTCCAAAGCTGCCCTCGCCGAAGACTTGGACACGGTTGACACAGGCGTCAGCAAAGAGACGGTTTCTGGGATGGCGCTTACAAGCCAGATCCTTACTGCACTGAAGGAGAGGCCTGCTCCAGAGCTGAGTTTCTCTAGTCAGGATCTGGAGGTGGGCGATGACTAGGGCCCTGAACTGCAGAGAATGACTTTCCCTGGAGTATACTTTGAAGGTGCAGAGGCATGTATGTGGCTTCTTTTACCTCTGCAGGCTGACCCACAGCTGCCAGCTTGCCTTTTAACACAGCCAGAGCATTTGCAGACATCTTATTTAATCTTTTTTTTTTTTTTTTTTTTTTTTAGTTTTTCAAGGCAGGTTTCTCTGTGTACCCTGGCTGTCCTGGAACTTGCTCTGTAGACCAGGCTGGCCTTGAACTCATAGCCACCTACCTCTGCCTTGAAAGTGTTGGGATTAAAGGTGCCACCACTACCCAGATCCAAGTGGCTTTTAAAAGAAAAGGGATCATCAGAAAAGAGATTCTCAGGTCATCAAACACTAGTCTCCAAGCCTCTGAGGTGGCTTCAAGATGTAGAGTCCCTAAGTAATCTGAGGCCAGTACAGTAGCACAAGAAGGCCAGCCCAGGGCTGGGGGAAGAACAGCACTCGCCAGCATTCCTCAGGCCTTGGGTTTGGTCCTCAGCACTGTGCGGGGAAAGAAGGCAGGCCTGTGGGGCCCTCAAGTGTTGGCTGTCTTAAGAGTGGAGGACTAGTGGCTGGATGAGGGGATCCCTGGGGTGGGTATTCTCTACCCTTTGTTCTTGACCCTTGTACCAAGTACCTCCCAATCTAGAAGGAAGGAGCTTAGATTAACCTGACCTTGGTTCACTCTCCTGTGGGCCTGAGTGATCACGTGCTAGGAAAGGCACATCACAGTGCATCCCAGGCCAGCCTGGGCCACAGGACAGGGCTGTCTGTAACAAGAAGAGAAGAAGCGCGAGCGCGCAGGCGAGGGCACAGGGGCTGTGGTCTCAGTGGTTCTTCTTCCTGCCGCAGCTGGTCTCCAGGGAGGACCCCCGAGCCCTGGCTGTCGCTTTGAGCTGGGACATAAAGAAGGCAGAAGCAGTCCAGCAGGCCTGCACCACGGAGCTCGCCCTGCGCCTGCAGCAAATGCAGAGCTTGCATTCACTCAGGAGTCTTTCGGTGAGGAAGAATCCACTGCCTGGGGAACAGCAGAGTCCCAAACGAGCCAGACAAGACCCCGAGTAGCTCCACCGGAAGCACGCTTTGCTGAGGAGAACGCTGGGTTTTGTTGTCAGTAAACAACTTCTCCTTCTCATTTTACTGCCTACATTCTGCTCTGCCTTCTGCCTTCCAGGATGCTCTTCCAGCAGAGGTGGCTATACCCCTCCAGAAAAGCTGGTTCAGTCTATACACATGCCCTCTACCTCCTTTTCATGTACTCAGAGTCTCATTTTTGTTTCTTGTATGAGTGTTTGCCTGAATGTATGTCTGTGCACCACATGTGTGCCTCGAGCCCACGAAGGCCAGAAGCGTGTGTCAGATCCCCTGGAACTGGAGTTACAGACTCTGGGTGCTCTGGAAGAGCACCCACTGCTCTTAGCACTGAGCCAGCTCTCCAGCTCCCAGAGTATACTTATTGTATATTAGGCCTTAGGTTCCAAGTGGAAGTACTTGTCAAAGACTGTGAAAATTTGTCATACTTTGGACTCAATGTCCTTATTCTACAACTTGAACAGTAGAGTTTCAGATGCAGATAATGGGAAAGAAAAGGCTAACAGCGGTGATCGTGGCCATGAGCTTACTTCCCGAGTTAATGAATGTGGTTGTTTAAAGGCATATACTGAATTTGCAGACCCCAGGGACATGGAGTCTCCTCCACCGTTTCTAACATCTGACGCAGTGCTGTGAAGCTGTTGCCGCTATGAAACTCTGTTCCATTTTCTAATCTGCTTTGCCAGCATGGGGGAGCAAGTGTCATTAAGTGATTCTCATGCTCTGTGGCTCCAGTTCTCTGTGCGGAGCAGAGCACTTCTGGCTTTTCTCTCCCATATCTGCTCAGACTTCTGCAACCTCTGCAATCTACAGTGCTGTCTGCTTTCAGGGAAAGGACGCTCAGTTATGGGTCGTTTGACTTAATGTATGCTGAGAAGAAAACAGTGCTGTTGAGAGATGCATGCCCAGTTCCTTTTCATTGTGTGCGTAGGTTCTGGATGTTGGGGATTGAACTAGGGCCTCATACACGCTGAGCACATGCCCCCTAATGAAGCACTCCCCATTGGCCAGTTTAAACAAAGAAATGCAGCATTAAGTCTCGGGGTGGAGGTAGGGTGCAGAAAACAGATAAAGAGAATTGTTTCCTCGCCCAAAGCAGCTTTTACATCTCGTAGTGCCTTCCACGTCAGTTCCTGTGTCAGGGCCACCAGTTCCTCTGCGCCTTTGTGATGCTGCTCAGTCCTTAAATAAAGCCACCGCTGGTGATGCCTCTCAATCCTTAAATAAAGCCACCGCTGGTGATGCCGCTTGGTCCCTACCATTACTTGTTCAGGAACACTAATCCCGTCTGAGTGTAATAGTACACAAATACAAAGGGAAATGAATACCTTCCAATAAAATAGTGAGTATGCTGCTGTCTCTGTGTGACGAACACACAGCAAAGCTGTCAGGTCATTGGATTACCTTGGATTTGACAGAAGCTGCAGGCTGGCAGAGTGAGCTGATTGTCAGCTCTAACAGCATGGCAGCATTGTCCTGGCAGTGAGATTTCCCCAATGAAGTTCTGAACAGAGTAACCTCTGTCCCCGGATTACATGTTAAATGTGTATGTTCCTAGAAATCCAAGTTACATTAAAACTAAAACTACTAAATAATCCCAGCACCCAGGAGGACCTCTATGAGTCTGAGGCCAGCCTGGTCTACATAGTGAATTACAGACCAGCCAAAGTTACAGAGTGAGACCCTGCCTCAAAAAATAAGAGAAGATTTAAAAATAGAAGGTTTCAAGCTAAAATAATTTTGAACAGGAATTTGCTTTGGGGTCCTGTTCACTTGTTCTCTGTGCAGTGAACACACGTGTCACACTCGTGTGGAGGTCAAAAGGCAATTTGTGGGAATTGTTTTTCTTTCCCTGCACCATGTGGGCCCTGACGACAGAACTCAGTTCTTCAGACCTGGAGGGAAGCATCCTTAGCTGCCGAGCCGTCCTGCCGGACACCAGACAGCGTTCCTCCATCCATACGGACAATCAGCATGATGAGTCTTGCAAGAAGCCGGGCACTATGCCATGGTGCACCTGCCAACTACCTGCCAGAGAGGCTGAGGCAGGAGGATCATTTGAGGCCAGTCTGGGCAAAGTCATAGGAAAGTAGTACTATAGGACATGGAACAATACATTTGTAAAGATCTACTTATTAAAATCTTCCGATTCACTCAAAGTGTATGAGTGTTTGGTTGCATGTACGGCTGTGCACCACATGTGTGCTTGGGGCTCCTTGTGATCAGAAGAGGGCATTGGATCCCCAGGAACTGGAGTTGTGGATGACTGTGAGCTACCGTGTAGGTACTGGGAGTCAAACTCAGATCCTCTTCAGGAGCAACTAGTGCCTTTACTGCTGAGGCATCTCTCCAGCCTCCTCCCCCATCTTTTTAAAATTGTGTGTGATGTGCTATGAAGTAGATGCAGGCATTGTGGGTACCAGGGTACACATGTGAGTTCAAGAGAGCAAGCTTAAGTCACCAGGCTTACTCAGCACCAGACCAGGACACTAGGTACTAAAGGCCCAAGGTTGAAGAGGTTACATGAAATGTCAGGTGAGGAAGTGTGGGAAGGGGCGTGGTCCCTTTCTTGTCCCAGGGTCAGGAGCGTGTGAGGCAGGAGCACTGTCAGTGACTATAAGGGAAGCTCTGCCCCAATGACGGGGTGAGAGCAGATGTAAAAGATGAGTTCGGCCCATACCATTCACCTTCCCACACCGCTGTGGTGCCTGGCCTTCTGGAAGAGAAATGCAGCCAAATGCCAATACACCCCAGAACAGGCTGCGTGGGGCCTGCCTGTCCTGGTGGGGAAGAATGTCGACGCCAAGCAGGGACTAATGATCTCTCCATTAACCTTACTCCATTCTTTCGACTCCAGTCAAAATGTCGGGCTTTGACGGGAGCTCTGCTAATTACCTCTTACCAACCTTTAATTTCTGGGTGAAAGCAAGAGAAGAAAATCAGTGGATTTTTCACTTTCCAGAGAGAAAGGACTAATAGTCATCTTTAAAATAGATATATTGAGTTCATTACAAGAGTATTACCGAGTCCTTTCTCACTAGACTATTTAACCATTCAGTTCCTAATTAGCTGTGCATTTTGTTTCTTCAGATTTGACTATTATATTTGTAAGGTTCCATACATTTGTTTTTGGACAGGATCTTATGCTGTGTTTTTTAGTTACTTTTATTTTTTTTTTGGGGGGGAGGGGTTGTTTTGTTTTTTCAGGACAGCGTTTCTCTGTAACAGAGCCCTGGCTGTCCTAGAACTCACTTTGTAGACCACACTGGCCTTGACTCGGATCCCCCTGCCTCTGCCTCCTGAGTGCTGGGATTAAAGGTGTGCACCACTGTGCCGGCCTTATGTTGTGTTTTTATTGTTTTTCCTTTATATATTTTTTAAAGTTTTAATTATGGGAAGGTGTGTGTGTATGTGTGTGTGCGCGGGAGAGCTCACTGGTGACCTCAGAGGTCAGAAGCATCAGATTTCCCTGGAGATGGTTAAAGGCAGTTGTGAGCCACCTGATACGATACTGGGAACTGACCTAGGGTCCTCAAGAGCAATCCCCGATCTTAACCACTGAGCTGTTTCTCCACTCCCCTTTTCAGATACTTTAAAAAGTTTCAGCACATGGACCATGGAATATATGTAGAGATAACCTTGAGTCAGCTCTCTTTTTCCACCAAGTGGGTCCTGAGAGTCAAACTTAGCTTGTCAAGATTGGCAGCAGGTACCTGCTGAGCCTCCTTAATGGCCCCTACCTGTGGTCTTTAAGAAACTTGGGGCTAGGTGTGGTGGCACACGCCTTTAATCCCAGCACTTGGGAGGCAGAGGCAGGTGGATCTCTGAGTTCGAGGCCATTGGTCTACAGAGTGAGTTCCAGGACAGCCAGAGCTACACTGAGAAACTCTGTCTTGAAAAACCAAAAATAAGTAAATAAAATTGGTTTTTTTTTGGTTTGGTTAAAAAAAAAAAATTGTTTTTGAGGCAGGTCTTACCATATAGCCCAGGCTGGCCTGGAACTTGAGGAATCCTCCTGCATCAGCCTCCCAAGTGCTGGGATTACAGACATTCACTGCCACACCTAGATCAAACTACTGTCCTTGTTAGCCTTATCAAAAGTTGCAGGGGCTTGGGGGAGGTAGCTTAGACAATAAGAGTGCTTTGCCTAGCATGCACAAATCTCCACATAAACTGGGTATGGTGAAGCACACCTACAATTTTAGCATCAGGAGACAAAGGCAGGAAAGCCAGACGCTCATTATAGAGTGAGTTCAAGGTCAGCCCGGTGCCCGACTGTCTTGGTTACTTTACTATTGCTGTGATAAAGCGCCATGACTAAGGCAGCGTATGAGAGAAAGAGTTTAGGGGCTGGAAAGATGGCTCAGCAGTTAAGAGCCCTGGTTCTTAGAGAGGACTTGGGTTGGATTCCCAGCACCACATGGTGGTTCACAAGTGTCTGTCACTCCAGTTCCACGGCTATGTTTCGTCTTCTGGCCTCAGCCAGACACACGGTGCATAGACACATGGGCAGGCGAAACACCCATACATAAAATAAATGTAAAAAAAAACATAAAGCTTAACTGGATTTACAGTTCCAGGTGGTTAAGAGTCCACGATGAGAGCAAAGACATGGCCACAGGGACAACTGAGAGCGCACGTCTTGAAACACAAAAGAGAAAGAGTCCTTTGAAACATCACCCCCTTCCAAATGACATACTTCTGCCTAATCCTCTTCAAACACCCACCAACTGGGGACCAAGTATTCAGATGTGTGAGACTTAAGGGGACATCTTCAAACCACCACAGTGACTAAGGTACTCAAATACAAAGAAGTTATAATGAGTTGCTTGGCTGCTCCTGCTTCTTCCTTCTCCATCTAGAAAGAGGGTGTTCCTTCTACTAAATAACTAGATGCTTGCTTTCTTGGTTTGTCCCCATGGAAGCCATCCCTCTCTGAAGCCACTGATTAAGATGTGAAATGTGCCATCGGCTGGTGCTGCTTATAGCAAGTTGTTGAAGTGTGTCCCTTAAGTTTACTGGTCCAAGGCTCCAAAGCCTCTCATCCTCTGCTGTTACCCCGAATACAAACCCCATGGAGGGATTTATGGACTGTTACACTTGATTCTTCCTCAAAAAGCTGATGCCAAACACCAGAATCGGAATGGATGAATCCAAGTTGTCCAGGTCTTGTTGGCATTGGCCATACCTTGACTATACCAGCTACGGAAAGGTACGCTCTAAGCTGGTGTGTGGCACACACCTTTAATCCCAGCACTCAGAAGGCAGAGGCAGAAGGATCTCTTTGAGCTTGAGGCCAGCCTGGTCTACATAATGATTTCCAAGATGGCCAGGAAGAAATGTGCTCTAAGAAAGTATGCTCAAATCCTGATGCAGGAAATTACCTGTTTACCCTTCATGATTTTTCTTTTTTCTTCATTTGTGTGTGTGTGTATAGTATATTTGTGTGGGGGGCCAGGTGTAGCAACTCATGTGGGTATATGAAGAGGCCAAATTCATTTGAGACAGTCTCTCACTGAACCTTAAGCTGGCCATTTCAGTCACATTAGCTAGTCATTGAACTCCCAAGGTTTGCCTCTGACCCCAATAGTGGGGTCAGGTCAAAAGTGACCTACTTCTGCCTTTTTTTTACATGGGTGCCAGGGATCCAAACTCAGGTCTCCTCACGAGTGTAAGTACTTACTTATCCCCTACCTTATTAATCACAAACATATTAATCCATCCTGTCTTAGTTAGGGTTTCTATTGCTGTGAAGAGACACCATAACCACGGCAACTCTTATAAAGGAAACATTTAATTGGGGTGGCTCACTTACGGTTTCAGAGGTTCAGTCCATTGTCATGGCGGCATGCAGGCAGACATGGTGCTGGAGTAGCTGAGGGTTCTGCATCTTGCAGGCAACAGGAAGTCAACTGAGACAATGGATGGTATCCTGAACATAGGAAACCTCAAAGCCCACCCTCACAGTGACACACTTCGTCCAACAAAGTCACACTTCCTAATAGTGCCACTCCCTGAGTTTATGGGGGCCAAATACGTTCAAACTACCACACAGTCTAACACACAGCTGATGCCAACTAACGAAGTCCCCTGAACTTAGGTAGCTTGGACTAACAGACTGCTCAGCAGGATCATTATCTTTATTGTTCTCCAATGGGGCATAGTTAAGGTGAAGTCCACAGCCTTAAGGACAGGGTAGAGAAGGCTCCAGAGAATACTCCAGGTGAATTTAAAACACTAGTACACCCTTGCTCTACAAAAAACATCAAAGAGCAGTTTCTGGAGACTGTCTGGCCTTTCAGTCAGATTTCTCCCAGCAGTACACTGAGCCCAGCACTGGGGTGCAAGACTGCTGTGCAGAAGCATGATGCAGCACGATGCAGCATGATGCAGCTGCCTCTCCCATCACGTTGCTGTCCTCAGCTAGTAATTATGACCGATCTCAGCTCTGAGGACCACAGAGCCAAGTCAGCAGTCACAGCTGCAGTCTGCTCCCTGGCGTCCAAAGAAGAGGGTGAAACTCAGGCATCTCCAGCCAGCATTGGGCCTTGCCCCATTTCAGGCCCAAACTTCTGTAATTCTAGATGTAGATGTGTAAGCTCTGAGTTTAGCACCTAGGGAATTGAGTCCCAGTCTCTTTCCACACACAGAAAGATGGACCCACTGCAGTGGCCCTCAGCCCATTGCCAGAGTCTTTTGAAGAGGGAGGAGGTTAAGTCAGGGTTTCACTCTGAACTGCAGCCCAGGCTGTTCCTGAACTCACAGCAATCCTCTTGTCTCAACCTCCCGAGACAAGGCTGTGGTTACAGCCCTAACCACACCCAACCTGCCGTGGCCCTTCTTGGTAGTCTGCAAGATGACTCAGTGAGTAAAAGCGACTGGCCCAAGCCTAACGACCCTAGTTTCCTCCCTGGAACCAACATGGTGGACTGGGAGCAGCTGTCTGCAGTTGTGCTGACGCCACATGCACACTGTGACAAAAGTCCAGCATCTGGAGCCTTTGCACTCGGCGTTTCTCTTAGTGTCTTTGGCTCAGCAGTTAAAAGTGTGAATAACCAGAAAGGATTTCAGTGCTATGGGGGAGAATTAAAACATGCTAAATTTGGAAAGAGCAATTTGTCCCCAGCTTCCTTGGGGAAGACCAAAATCTTGCTCAGCTAGGGGCTCAGTGGTTGCTCGGTTTTATATCACAGAAAACAGAATTGTCTTTCATCTAACCGTTATTCACTGGAAATGGAAATGAAAAGCTACTGTGGCGATTGTGCATAAAGTATTTCACTGGACAAATTTGTGTTAAGTTTCAAGCCCAAGACAAACAGCTGAGGTGTCTATTTAACACATCAGAGCAGATCTGGCTGCCAGGTTCTCTCAGCATCCCTCAGTCCCTACCTGTTACAGGGTATGGCTGGCACACCTGCCCTCTACCCTCACTCTCCAGCCCAGAAACTGGGCTGCCCTTCCCCAGACATTATAATCCAGACATTTTGGTTACCCGCCCTCCCCCGCATCTCCCCACATGGCCCAGCTCATGTCCACTCTGGACTTGCCCAGATGTCTCTGCCTCTGGCTATGCTCTCGCTTTTAGATACAATAAACTTTCTCCTCCACCGTACCGAGAAGCAGTCCTTTTTCCTTTTCTCATTCATTATGGATACTGGATTTGGTGGGTAACTGTCTCAGAAGTCAAGGCAAGCCAGGCACAGTGGTACATACCCCAAGTCCCAGCATACGAGACACAGAAATAAGTGGATCAATGTGAATTGGAGGCCAGCCTGGCTAAACAGTGACCCCGTCTCCAGAAGCAAAGTGGAGCAGGCTACAGGCTGGGTGGAAGCAGCGCTGCTCAGAGTGATGCTTTTCTTAGTCTTTCTTCACAAAGTAAAACTGAAGCTACAATCAGGGAAAAGGAATGTAACAAATTAATATTTCTAATTAAAACTGCTGTATAACGAATTTGAATATAACTTTTATAAGCATGTCAGCATGGTGTCGGCTTAATAGCATAACATTAATTTTAAAATTAATTTTAGCTAAAATATGAGGACTAATCACTGTGCTCCTCGAGCAGCGTTGCTAGCTTGCTTGTGAAGTTCACAATGCTGAGGATCAAATGCAGGGAGGGCCCTGTGGCTGCCAGACAAGCACTCTGCCGAGTTACAGCCTCAGGCCTGGAGAGACATCACATTAAAAACAGACTGGAATACAGCTGGCTGTAATGGTGCACACTAATCCCAACACTCAGGAAATGAAGACAGGTTGTGAGTTCAAGGCCAGGTGGCTATATGTAAGACCCAATCTCCAAAAGCCCAAAATAAACTGAAGATGCTGTTTTGAACTCTTAAATATGCAGCCTTGAGCTGGGCATAATCCCAGCACTTGAGAGGTAGAGGCAGGAAGATCATTTCAAGGTCATTCTTGTCTACATAAGAAGTTTGAAGCTAGCCTGAGCTTACACAGACCTTCAAAAAAATTATGTTGTGTACATACACAGACACACACACATGGCTTTTAGCTGTTTTCAATTGAGCAAAGACAAGCCCTCACCTCCAAGCACCAGGATGGAAACCCAATGGTCCTGCCAGATACACTCTGGCAAGCACCACCAACGTTTTTATTTAGAGGGTTCTCTTTGGATTTCCAGTACTTACTTCACCTATATGGGTAGTGGCCATTACTAAAATTTAATTTTCACATGGCGTGAAGAAAAGCTCAGTTACGGAGAAAGCTCCATGTTGCCTGACATCCTTTATTCAGACTGGTTGCATTTCACAGGGTGGCTTGGGGGGGGGGGGGTTACTTGCAAGAGGAGAAGGTTTTCCAGAAGAAATTCTTACAAGGCTTTTTATCCCGGCGTGGGGGCTGTTGGAGAGGTGGGCTTTCCTGCCACTTAGACACCTCGCTGGCATCCCCTCCGAGGAGGGCGCTGGAGCTGGCTTGGGAGGTCCAACCATGCCACCAGGCAAGGAAAGTCAGGAGGCCGTTCCTCTTCCCTTCTGCAGCTTCCTGTGTGTTTCCAGAGAAGGAACAAGGGGGAGTAAACCAGGCCTGGACTCACTCAGCACCAGGAGATGCTCGCCCCTCCCTCCCAGAAAGCAAGCTGCTCCTTAACAAACACATCTCCCTCAACTGAGTCTGAAGAATCTTAGAGAAACTGCTCTGCAGAGGGCAACAGACAAAAAGAACTGCTCATTTTGCCAGCACTGTGAGCAAAGGCAAGTGGATTACTGTGAGTTTGGGACTAGCCAGGGCTACAGAGTGAAACCTTGTCTCAAAATATAGACACGTGAATTGCTACCTCTACCTTATCATCTTTGCTGAGGTCCTTAGCTATGAGAGGAGGAAATCTGCTAAAGTGACTGACAGCTCAGACGCCCTGGGCACAGGCTCATCTAACTGATTTCCATCTTCAGACATCCTTCTGAGTGTTCAGAAACCCGAACAGACTGAGATGCTAAAGTCTGGTCTTTCAAACTCTTTGGGAAGCTTCTAGGAGTATTGTGATGATAAATGACCGGCCTGAAACTCATCTGGTAATTTCAGAGAAAAATCCGTTTCTAATGGTCAACTTTATGTACTCTTTCTTGGAACTTTTTCAAAATTGAGAAAAAGAGAAAGTAAATCACTTGATGAAATTATAAATTTATACCACGGTTAATGTGAGCGAGTGAGAGCATAGCTATGTACATAAATTAAGGCTCTCAGAGTCTATGTGACCAATACCGGCAGGGGCTGGACTACAAACACACTGTGACATCCAGAAGTCTAGCCAAAGCAGACACCCGCAGAGAGAGGAAGGAGCCCCTGAACAGACACAGGCTAGGACAGTGAGGGCAAAGGGAAGACCAGTGGTCTGAATGGGACATTGGAGCATCCTGGGGTCGCGCACACACGTACACACGTACACACACACACACACTGCAAGGAATTCACTGGGTGGTCAGAATGCCAGGAAGAGAGACAAACAGCAGCCTACCTGTGCAGGGACTGTCCTCAGCACACTGTCCTGGCCAGGGGGACCACTCTGCAGGGGAAGCGCAGTGGCTGCGGTCCCCCAGAGCAGCAGCAGCCCGAAGGCTGACAACCACTTGCCTCCAGCACCGCGGCGGCCACCCATCCTCTTTGGCGGCCCTCAAGTCAATGCTCTGGGGAGGAGGGTCTTTCTTTGGAGCCCTGGTATTTTAAGCTGCACAGCTGTTTTGGGGTCTGCACACGTCCACTGAAAACTTGCACGCTTCTCCACACTCGTGCAGTGACGCACAAGCCGGAGCAATCAGTTCTCACACAAACATTTGTGAGGTTGGATTTAGCCCCTTAATTAGAGACTCAGGACTTTTCCTGTGCTGAGTGAATCTGCTCTTATTTTAGAACACGTGCACTCGCTGTGAGTGAGTTCAGCTCCCTTGCGATTGTGCCTAGAGCAAGCAGGAAGCCATTAGAACAAAGCCAAGCGATTCAACAGAACAGGAAGTTAGGCTTGGGTAAAGAGCCCAAGTGTGCGATCTTACCCATATGAAAGCAAGGCGAGGGCTGGGATGAAGCTCAGCACAGCACGTACCTATCATGCGTGAGGCTCTGGGTTCTGTCCCCAGCACCAAAAATGAAGTACGTCTGAATCTGCTAAGGACAAAAGAAACTAGGTGCAGTGAAGACTCAGGGCCACAGGATAGCACCAATGTTTCACAAATCACAAGGACGAGCCAAGAGCTTGTCCCAGCAGCACTGCCCACTACCCTCTGCCCAGGCAAACCTTGGTTCTTAGCCAGACCTTCACCTCACTCAAGTACAGATGCTGACGCTGATGCAGAAGACAGCATCCTGTGACACTGAGCACTGACTTCTGCACCCCTCGCACAGTTCGTGGTCGAAGGCTTTCCAAACTTCTCATGTTAGCAAACGGCACGTTTTTTAAAATGAGGCCAGGTTCAGCAGCTAAGTCTGTCACCAAGCCTGATGACCTGTCAATGCCCTGTAACCAGCATGGTGGGAGAGAATTGAGTCTCTCAAATTGTCCAATGAGTATGCATATCATAGCATGTGTTGTGTGTGTGCCCACACACACACACACATGATAAAGGTAATATTTTTAAAAAATTGAGGACCATACATGTTGACACACACCTTTAATCCCAGCACTTAGAAATGTATACCTTATTCTAAGATATTGGTGGTGCTTATTATTTTGATCCAAAAAGGAAATGGCCAACACTTGGGAGGCAGAGTTAGGTGGAACTCTGTGAGTTCAAGACTAGCCTGGTCTACGTAGTGAAATCCAGGACAGCCAGGGCTACATAACAGAATCACAATGTTTATGGGATTAGCAAGATGGCTCAGTGGGTAAAGCACTTAATACACAAACCAGATAACCCACGCTCTATCCCTAGAACCCACATATCAGTGAAAGGCAAGAACACACTGCTTCTTCAACAAACCTGTCTGCTGACCTGCAAGCTCATGCTATAGCACACTCATGCCCCTCCCCTAGTCAGACACCTTTTTTAAAATTAAGACTGTGTGTGGATAGAGATGTACCAAGTGTAAGATGCCTTTTTGGTGCAGTTTACAGTCACCATCTGAGAAACCTGTACTTGGCCAGCTGAGAGACCACCTCTTCCCAAAGACCGTGACAAAGTGCTAGGCCACCTTCCGGCTCCTCATGGGTCCTCAGTCCAGAATTGTGGGGATAAATGCACAAACCTCTCATAGCCAGACAGACCTAAAAACCCATCTCAGACCACTAGAGACCGCCAAGTGTAGCAGAAAATTTTAAAACATGTTACTTTTGTTTATGTTGCATTTGTTTAACTCTGTGAAGCTGTGTTAATGTGCCTGTGTAAAACACCTGATGGTCTAATAAAGAACTGAATGGCCAATATAAGGCAGGAGAAAGGACAGGCGAGGCTGGCAGGCAGAGTATATACAGAGGGAGAAAACAGGGAGGAGAGATCTAAGATCTATGAGCCAGAGCAGGAAGAGGACTCCAGGGGCTAGCCACCCAGCTACACAGCAAGCCACGGAGTAAGAAACAAGAAAAGCATACAGGAATAGGGAAAGAAAAGCCCAGAGGCAAAAGATAGACGGGATACTTTAAAGTTAAGAAAAGCTGGCTAGAAACTAAGCCAAGCTAAGGCCGGGCATTCATAAGTAAGGATAAGTCTCCATGAGTGATTTATTTGGGAGCTGGGTGGCGGGCCCCCCAAAAAAGAGCAAAAACTTCCAACAATAACCCAATAACCAAGATCCAGGGAAGGCTCAGGCCTAAAACAAACTGAAGAACAGACGGCTTCTTCTGAAAGATCATGTCCCTTCTCAACTTCTGGGAGTCAGTTTTCTCTTCCAGCATGGACTAAACTCAGGTCATTGTTCTTGGCAAATGACTTACCCGCTGAGCTACCTTGCTGGCCCCAGGCCACCCTGTACCCCTACCACTCTGTAAGGAAAAGAGCAGGCCCTGAACGTCTATGCAGCCCTTGGGACACCAGCTCCCAGTACCACATGTGTTTCACACTGAAGCTCCAGATTCTCCCCCTCAAGCAAACGTCTGTTCTGGAAAGCCAAGGCTTAACTATAAAGAAATTACACAGAACTATCTGAAGAAAACCACTGTTAAAGAGCAAGAAATTCCACCCTGGGGCTGCAGAAAGGTTAGGAGCACTGGCTGTTCTTCCAGAGGTCCTGAGTTCAATTCCCAGCAACCACACGGTGGCTCACAACCATCTACAATGAGATCTGGCGCCCTCTTCTGGCCTGCAGGCATACATGCAGGCAGAAGACTACATAATAAATAAGTAACTCTTTAAAAGAAAGAAAGAAACTCCATCCCCAAACACATCTTTCACTGATGATCAAGGGGCCACCGGTCTGAAAGAACCTCAGTAACCAGAGCTAAGTAAACATAGCTTTATTCACTGTTCAGAGACTGTCATCTGGCCTAGAAAATAAACAGTGAAGGACTACACTTATCCCCAAACACCCAGCATGTCTAATTGCAAACACATGTCATCAACCTCAGCCACTAGGTCACAGTGTGCCATCCAAACGCCAGCCTTTCCCCTGCCAAGGAAAGCATGGAGATGGCTTTGCAGGAGCTTCTGGCTCTTTTAAGCTGCATCAAATGTCCTGAAGCAGGCGGGATCGAGAGCTGCCCAGCCACTTGTGTCTTTAAACGTCTCCACTTATCCCTCAGACTGCCCGTGGTGGGATGCACACTTCCTCGTGCTGGAGGCTGCAGTTCCCAAGTGGCCAGGACTTAACTCTCACTGCTCACCACTTCAGCATCAGGCTCCCTGGAGTTCCTGTTTTCATCCTCTGGCTTCCTTTTCTTCTTGGCCTTTCGCTCTAGGTTAAGCTGAGCAATCTCTTCATTTTTCTCTGTGATGTATTTTAGCTATGTATATACAAAAAAAAGCAAAATATATTTAAGTCTTTAAATCTGTCTATAAACTATTTTACAAACCTAAAAATAATAACAATAACTTATGCCTTCTCCAGGATTCCAAAAGAACTGGGTGGAAATTCACTGACTGAACTATTTATTAGCACTAAAACTGCCCTAAAAATGGAGATGGAGCCGGGCGGTGGTGGCGCACGCCTTTAATCCCAGCACTCAGGAGGCAGAGCCAGGCGGATCTCTGTGAGTTCAAGGCCAGCCTGGTCTCCAAAGCGAGTTCCAGGAAAGGTGCAAAGCTACACAGAGAAACCCTGTCTCGAAAAACCAAAAAAAAAAAAAAAATGGAGATGGACACAGTTCAGAGTCAAATCCCTGCTCTTGTGGAAAGGACATCATAGAAAGTCTGAGTCCTGCAAGGGTCACAATATTCTAGGTCTGCCATCAGCCACAGCCAGGTGACCCTGGCACCTCTAAGTGTTAAGTGTCTTCACTTAGAAAATTACAGCTTGGTCAAAATGAGTTCTTCGATGTGAAAAAACAGAAATGTGCTCTCTTCTGCATAACCAACCTTTCAGGCTTCCATCCATCCATCCCTGGCCCATCAGAACTGCGGGTATGGCTGGGCCTGGGGGGCACACCTGTAATCTAGGTTACTGGGATATTGGCTGACACAGGAGGAGGGTCTCATGTTCAGAGCCTACCTAGGCTAAAAGTCAAGTTCAAGAATAGCCTGTATATTTAGCATGACCCTTGTTTTGTCTCAAAACAAGAAATGGGGCTAGAGAGATGGCTCAGTGGTTAACAGCACTTGTTACTCTCAAGGTAACAAGGACCAAGTTCACAATGACCCAGTTTTGATTCCCAGCACCCACACTGTGGCTCACAACCACCTGTAACTCCAGTCCCAGGGGATCTGAGACCCTCTTCTGACCTCTAAGGGCACCAGGCATGCACATGGTGGACATGCATACATGCAGGCCAAACAATCATACACAGAAAATAAGAGAGTAAACTTTAAAAACAAGCAGCAGCCGGGCGGTGGTGGCGCACGCCTTTAATCCCAGCACTCGGGAGGCAGAGCCAGGCGGATCTCTGTGAGTTCGAGGCCAGCCTGGGCTACCAAGTGAGTTCCAGGAGAGGCGCAAAGCTACACAGAGAAACCCTGTCTCGAAAAAACCAAATAAATAAATAAATAAATAAATAAAAAATAAAAAGAAGCAGCAAAAGAGGAGGCAGGACCCACAGTGCAGAGGGGCAGCGTCCGTCTGGCACGCACAAGCCCCTACTTTCCATCCCTAGCATGAGGTGGGGGCAGGGTGGGTACCACAAGGAAACCATCCCCAGAGACTAACCCATAACTAGTCTGTGACATCATGCTGTAAATGAAACATGGGACCAAAGTTTTGAGATATTACAAAAAAGGTAAATTATGGAATCCAGAGAGAGCTGATTAGAAAATTTCAAATTGGCTTTGCAAGATCTATCATAATGAAAGGAGGGCTGTAAATTACAGGCAGGTCTGAACGGTTCAACCATCTCTAGTTTTTAATGCAAGGTGCCCTGGAGAATAACTACACGCCTTCAAGTGATTAATTGGGAATAATGTATTCGGGTGGGGAAGGGGAGTGAGGAGAGAGATCCATCTCTCACCAGTGAATTACTCCGCCTGGCTAAGAGCTTCACGTCTTCCGTGGTGACTGTGCTTCTTTTCGCATGTCTGTGGAAAGGGCAGAAAAAAGTTACCAGAACGTTTGGTATTAAAGTTTCGATGAAATAGAAAAGTTCACGGTCACACTTCAGAGGAACAAGGATGCCTAAGTGGCCCATCTCATCAGATTCAGACCACAGGCAATAACAACACAAAGACGAGCCACGCTCCTAGCCACGGAGGACACTGAGGCCATCCATCAGCTGGGCCTGAGAACCAGTGTGCTGGAGAGCAAAGGGGTGAGAAACCATCTAAAGTCACCCTTTTTGTCACAGTCGTCTGTGGGAACCGTGAGACACAAGACTGTCTCTGCTTACGTGCATATCAGACAGCTGAGTGAGTGAAAACATCCACGATGCTGGTTCCTGAGGCTCTTCTGCAGGGCTGAATCACAGACAAAGTACATGCAGCTCCTCCTAGAACCCACTTCCCTGCAAGCTCTGAACACACACACACACACACACACACACACACACACACACACACACGAGCCTGGCAGAACAAAGAACTGCCTTTAAACTGGTTCTGCCTCCTGCTCAGAGCTTGGACCGAGGTCCTCAATGTCCTCCTCCAACCCTCACTAGGAAAGATGGGGGCTGCAGAGAGGGCTGCTCCTTGCTCTTGAATTCCCAACATCTCCCAACTCCAGCTCCAGGAGACCCACTGTCCTCTTCTGGCCTCTGTGGCACCCACACTCATGATGACACACACACATGCAGACACACACATAAATATATATAAACAGCAGATAACCTAAGGTAATAAGCTACACTAGATCATGTATTGATTATGTCCTTTCACCATTACTAGCTTGTCTAAACTAAGGGCTTCACAAAGCAGAAGGAACTAGAACACTGTGTCCTCAAGAATGAGCTCAGGGGTCAGCCCCACTTAGTCCACACGGAATGTCGGCTCGCTCAGTTGAACATGGAGTCACATGGCAATTACACTCCATTCAATGACCACAGTCACTCAAAGCCCTGCTAAATGTGTACACTCCACGTGTCATCTCCTCGTAACAGACAGCAGTGCTTAGATGGGAACACACCAGAAGACTAGACAAAGGTCCCAGGCCAGCCAAGGCTACACAGAGAAACCCTGTCTTGAAGAACCAAAGCAAAACAAGATTTAAAGAGGGTTGAGACCCGGGATGGCCTCAAACTAGCAATCCTCCTGCCTCTGCCTCGAGTGCTGAGATTACAGGCATGAGTCACCGGGCTTGGCTTAAACCTTCTCAGTAGTTTCCAGGCACCTTTAATCCCAGCACTCCGGGAGGCAGAGGCAGATGGATCTCTGAGTTCGGGGTCAGTCTAGTCTACAGAGGGAATTCTAGGATAGCCAGAGCTACATAGTGAGGCCCTGTCTCGGAAAATAAATAAATAAATAAACCAAAACCAAGGAAAGAAATGAGCATGCTGCCTTTTCAGAGTGACCGTTCATGGGAGTTTGTGGAAAAGGACACAGCTGACACCCTCTACTTTTCAGTGTGGTACCTGGCGTGTGTGCCGGATTTTAAGTTCTCACCTACGTGCTGGAGGAGCAGGTATGCTGGGCGCCTGCCGCTGCTGTCCTACCAGAAACGCCCTCAGGAAGTCCCGACTCTAGTAAACTACTGACGGGAAGGAGGAACAACTGCTACACGGACTTCATGTGTGCTACATGCATGTGTTCCATATGCAGGCAGTGCCCAGAGGTCACGCGAGGGCACCAGGTCCTCTCGAACTGCAGTTACAGACGGTTGCGAAGCCACCGTGCGGGTGTAAAGAATCGAACATGGGTCCTCTGCAAGAGTAATTAGTGCTCTTAACCTCTCTGAGTGTGTGTGTGTGTGTGTGTGTGGTTTTTCGAGACAAATTTCTCTGAATAATAGTCCTGGCTATCCTGGCACTTGCTTTGTAGATTAGGCTGGCCTCGAACTCATAGAGATCTGCCTGCCTCTGCTGGCTAGGATTAACGGTGTGTGTTACCACGCCTGGCAAGGAAGAATCCCACCCCCACCCCTACCACCCCCACCCCACCCCCCTGGACCTGAGGACTGAACCCAAGGCCTTGTGCTTGCTAGGCAAGTGCTCTACCACTGAGCTAAATCCCAACCCCCAATTTTTTTTTAAGAAAGCCTTACTGTGGAGTCTGGGTTAACCTGGAACCGGGTATATAGTTCTCATGGAGATCCACCTGCTCTGCCTCCCTTGAAAGCCTGTACCTATACATGGCTGGGATTTGTTTTTTCTTTGAGACAGGCATCTGCTTTTCAGTCCAGGCTGGCCTGGAACTTTGGTCCTCCTGTGTAGTTATTTCGCAGCAATGATTAGAGTCTGCAGTGAGGATCTGCATGGAGCTGTGAGAGGACACAGACCCCCTTTTAAGGGATGCTCTTTGTCCAGCCAGGCTCAGGATGTGAGAGCAGACCTGCAGCACTCTGTAGCTCAGCCTTTGAGGAAGACCTTCAGGGCCAGGCTTGGCAAGGGGAGTCTGAGATCAGCTCCACTGTATCAGGAAGAGAGGGGCATGGTGACTCAGGCCTGTAGTCCCAATACTTGGGAGGCAGAGGCAGGAAGATTGCTAGTTTGTGACCTAGGCTATACAGTAAGGCACTATCTCAAACTCACTCCCCCAACACTTCCCTCAAAAAACAAAAACAAAACAAAACCAACCCCCATCCCCACACCATTCTTTAAAATGGGCACTTATCACCAGGCAGTGTGGCCCACGAACGCCTTTGATCCCAGCACTTGGGCGGCAGAGACAGAGGCACCAAAGCAGGCATCCTTTACAGTGCAGGAAGCCTCTAAAAGGAAAGAGGGTGGGGATGGCTGGGATCTGCAGCTCAGTGGTGGGACACACAACTGCCATGCACAAGGCCTTAGATTCAATCCCCAATATGTCCCACCCCCTGCCAAAACAAACAACCCAGACTATCCAAAAGCTTATAGTTAATATTTCTATTATCATCCTCGTTATTTATTTTGGCGTGCTGGGGATTTAACCCAAAGCTGTCACAGCTTTATGCCAACCATGTGTCTTGTCACTGAACTACATCCTAACTCCTAGTTCTGGATTTTTAAATTTTATTCTATTTTATGTGTGTGTCTTGTATGCCTGTATGTCTCTGTACTACACGTGTGCCTCGTGCCTGAGGAGGTAAGAAGAGGGTGTTGGAACCCCTGGAACTGGAGTTCTTAACAGTTGTGAGCCATCGTGTGGGTCTGGAATTGAACTCGGGTCCTCTGCAAGAACAAGTGCTCGTAACCACTGAGCCACCCCTCCCCCCCAGCTTCTGGATGGTTTGAACAGCCTCACTATGTGACCAGGCCACTCCTGAACATACACTCCTCCTGCCTTGACTTCCCAGCACCAAGATTACAGGCACGCCCCACCACACAGATCTAAACAAAAATACTTTTTAAAAATCTTATTGACTTCCACAGCTCATACAGAAAGGGGAAATGAAGGTGATAAATACTTCATGGGACTTGGGGGTGGGGCACTGAATGAGCCATCAGCATCCCATAATAGAACCTTATCCCTCTCAGCGAGCTGATGATGCTAAGCAGTTTTTAGGGACTGACAATATATACAGGGAAGGGAAGATTTAGAGCGCCCCCGGGAACCCGCTGCTTTAATTCATTGAAAATATTCATCCTAGAAACAGAGTGCAGAGGACAAGGTGAGAAGTGTGGCTGGGAAGCTGAGGTGAGCAGAGGCAAAAGCAAAGCTCGGGCTTCAGCCATTCCAACGGCTGCATGAAAGCGCTGGTTTCCAATTACCTGAGGTACTAATTGAAAAGACGAACGTAAATCACCTGGAAGAGCTCAGGCTTCTCAGGCTGAAAGCAGGCCTCCCCACTTCCCAGGAAGATTACGTCTTCCTCATAGCAAATCCGGATGAAAGCCCCTGCCTGGCATTCTCTCTACACCTGCAAGCAATCAGGGCTGCGGAACTACGCGGCCCTCTCCACAGAGGGACCGACCCCCGAGAGCCTGAGTTTCCCAGGGCCTGAGCAATCAAACCATCCCCAAGAAAAGGTTTTTTTTTTTTTTTTTTTTTTTTTTTGGTTTTTCGAGACAGGGTTTCTCTGTGTAGCTTTGCGCCTTTCCTGGATCTCGCACTGTAGACCAGGCTGGCCTCGAACTCACAGAGATCCGCCTGGCTCTGCCTCCCGAGTGCTGGGATTAAAGGCGTGCGCCACCACCGCCCGGCAAGAAACAGTTTTTAAAACAGGCAGCTACACACTGCCGAGTCTGCACACCCTGGAGATGCAATTCAGACCTTTGCCAGTGAGAGCTTGATAACTTGGAGACCTTCAAAGGACTCAGAAATACCAGACAATCTGAGCTGACGTGTTCAGAGCAGATGTTAGATTCTTGCAGCATCGTGATCAGTCACGAGCACCCAGAAAACAAGGCGTCACAGAGCTCCTGAAATCCACCCCCGGATGGGGGCAGTGATGTCAACGGACCTCAGATTACACAGCCAGCTTCTCTACCCACCTGGCAAACATTTCAAGGTCTTTGGCAAAATGTTCTGAAAGAGAGGGAAGAAAATAGATTTCAGCTGGCTTATCTCAGCCTCCCGAAGAAGCCTTGGCTTCTAGTCAGCACAGAAACTCAGCAATCCCTCAAGACAGGATTTCTCTGTGTAGCACTGAATGTCCTGGAACTCTTGCGGCCAGGGTGGCCTTGAACTCAGAGACCCTTCTGCCTCTGCCTCCCAAGTGCTGGGATTAAAGGCATGAGGCACATTTGGCACCACCCGCTTTTCAAAATCATGGCCCTTCCCTGTCCTTCCCAGCACCCTCCACTCTTCCTACAAGCCTTGTCCTAACTGTGATGGTCCCTTTGGTGGCTAGGGACTGTCTTTTAAAATCTGCTTCATGTTGGGGGCTGGAGAGATGGCTCAGAGGTTAAAAGCACTGACTGCTCTTCCAGAGGTCCTGAGTTCAATTCCCAGCAACCACATGGTGGTTCACAACCATCTGTAATGAGATCTGGTGCCCTCTTCTGGACTGCTGTCATACATGCTGTATACATAATAAATAAATAAATCTTTAAAAAAAAAATAAAATCTGCTTCATGTTATAGCTTGTAAGGACACTAATCTCCTCTCACATCAAGCAAGTGCCAGTACCACTGGCTCAGCTGTCACACACACTATGGAAAGCACAGAAGTGTCACAGAGCACTGAAATGGAAAAGTGTCCCATGTTCCAGCCACCACGGCAGTTTAAACAAGGTGCTAATGCCTGGTGTTGGCACACAGGACAACCTAACAATCCCTCCCACACAACACCCAAATCTCACCAGCCATGAGGTGATCAGGGAGACTGTGGCCAAGGGTTGTGTGTGGGGGTGAGACAGGCCACAGCTCCCACCCACACTGGCCCCTGGGCAAATCCCACAGAGAAAGGCAGTGGCCTCATACCGCACTGTCGAAAAGTCACCTCCGAGATCGCCGCAATGGTCTGCTTGCTGAACTGCACCTGTTTGTCCAACGCAACTTCCTCGCAAAGACAGCCGACCGTGTAGTGAACTGCAGCCTTTAGCCTCTGCGGGGAAATCGAGTCCTTCAGGGGCTGCAAGCAAGAGCCCACGGATCTGAAGATTAAGACCAATGAGAGGGGCTGCTCGGCCTAGCTCCTGCAGTCCATTCCATCGCGGCTGAGCGACACTTAAGTGCACTAATCAGTTAACGGCACCCTCTGGAGTGTGACTTGGGGGACCATGACTTTCCAGCTAATGGTTATGATTAGGTCACATAAAGAAATTACGACAGTCAGCAAGGAGAAATGACAGCAGCACTTGCTGAACCTGCAACTACCGTCCGTCCAGTCTCTGCTCACTAAGGGCCATCTGGGGAACACAACGAGAAACCAGTTTGTGGCCTCAAAATGGCTAACCAAAGACAGAAAGGCCCCATCCCTCTGTTCCGAGTCCCTAGCGGCCTCAGCCCTCCATGCACAGGTCACAGGACACTACCAGGAAGGGCTGATGACTGCCACCTGACCACCTCAACAGCCTTCCCTCCCTTAGGAAGCACCCTCCCATTTTTGGCCATGGTAGGGATCAAGGCAAACACTCCCACTGAGTCACATCCCTAGACCTCAGAAAGCCGTTTAAATACTGAGAGGTCTCTCTGTCCTAGGCAGATGCACCAAGGGGAAAGCTCAGAGCAAGCTAAGCAGCAGCCCTGTGGTGTCTCCACGGCTATGTGACCTCCTTCCCTGCGGAGATCTAAACCAATGTCTACCCCTCCTCACAGGGCACCAGCAAAACAAAATACCATCCACCTACGCCTAGCTTGGGGAATCAATGTGTTTACTGGGGACACCTACAGAGCATGGGTGACCCCAAAGCAGCCACAGGACTGTGGAGTCTCACCCCCAACATGGACGATAACTTCCCCACAACTGTACAGCGTGCCTCCTTCCGTCTCTATCGCCCCGAGATTCTGAGGCCAAGTGCAATTAGTGCAGAATTATATGCAGCTGGCTGGGAAGGGCAGGATGGGGTGGCGGAGATCAGGTGGGGGTCTAGTGGCCCTACCCCGAACTCGGGGCCTTGCACATGCTAGGTAAGCACTCTGCTGCTGAACTACACCACCGGGCCTTTCTGTTTCTGTAGTCTCAGCTCTGAGAGCAAAGCCTGGCTCTTAGGAGACAGTAAATGCTTCCTGATTAAATGGGGTTGTAAAGATGAGCTCAAATTTGCCTCTCTGCTCTGAGGTACCTGCAGAGGACCCCAGTGCCCACTCAATCAGCATTCTTGGCATGTAGACGGCATGGAACAAGGTGCACAGAGTCCCGCCCTTGAGTTTAGCGTCTCATGCTTTAGCCTCCAAGGTCTAAAGCATGGGAAAAGGAAGATGGCCCAGCCCACGGGGCAGACAAAACTTCTCGGAGCCAGATGCGTGCAGAAAGATCCGTGTCTTGTTGCGAGCCCCCACCTACACCTGAAGAGGACCTTAGGGTCTTCTCCCTTCTAGGCTGATTCTTTTGATCTCCTAAAGGCTGGGTTTGCTTGCCTAATGCCTAAGCAGACAGGGGTTAGGGCAGGCCCCAAGCTCAGCTGCCTGGCCTCGCCCACCCTGGGCTATCTCTGCAATTGGCCCTCATCTTGCCTACGCAGGGGATACTTGCTGGTGTCTTGGATTCAGGTGACACCACAACTGCCTCAGCTGTCTCCAGATGTCATAGGGTGCTGCCCTCCAAACAGCAGCTGTGACTACTTGAGAGACCCTCACGATCGGACCACTTCCAGACATGATGGTGCACGCCTTTAATCCCAGAACTTGGGAGGCATCAGCAGGTGGATCTCTGTAGTGATTGTCCTCTGACAGCAACCCCATCAAAATAAATAAATGTAACAACAATAAAAACCCCAGGCCCTGCTCCCCCATTCCACCTTGGCCTTTAGCAGACTCTTCCAAACTGTCAGTGTCACAAACAAAACCAAAGTGAAGAGACCCAGGAGACAAGAGTAACCCAACCCTTGATCTGATCCTAGACGCAGGAGAAAACAACTAAATCTTCAGGACAAATCGAGACATTTGACTACAGACTGTCCATCCAACAATGAAAGTCCGTTCAAGTTAGACTTCCGAGCTGTTTGTAACCCCAGCATTTGGGAGGTGGAGGCAGAAGATCAGAAGTTCAAGGCCAGCATGAGGAATGGGAGACCCAGTCTCCAAACAACTAAACATACTTCTGAAATGTGATAAACTATTGGGAAGATAAAAAACAGAACATCCTTCCCTGTCTGCGGGAGATGCGCGCTGAAATATGCCACCCTGAACTTGACTTTGTCATCTCATCTGATTTTTATTTTAATTTTTAGACAGGTTTCCCCTGTAATACTGCTACCCTGGAACTCGGAGATCTGCCTGCCTCCGCCTCCCCAAGGCTAGGATCAAAGGCCTGCACCACCATGCCTGGCTTCATCTGAACCTAGAGCCTCCAGCAGGCTAAAAAGGCTGTCAGCTGATCTCTATGCAGGGTCAGGGTTTTAACACCTAAACAGGAGCCCAACTACCTGAGAACAGCGCTTGCTACAAGAGAACAAAGCAAAATGTCAACAAGAGAAAACAAGGGCGGGGCGCTTAAGTGTCCATGGCTCAACCACTCAACCAGCAACGGTAGCTTTCGCCTTTCCTGGAACTCACCCTGTAGCCCAGGTTAGCCTCGAACTCAGAGATCCGCCTGCCTCTGCCTCCCGAGTGCTGGGAGTACAGGCGTAGGCACAGCAGACAGCTGCTGGACCCCAGCCTTAGCTCACCACCATCCCGAGCTGAGACTCCACCTGGGTCTTGGTCTTAAGCTCCCTGCGGCTCGGATTCAGGAAAACTGAACATTGGCTCTGACGCCACCCTGAGAGGTGGTTATTTCTATCCCAGCTTTGCAAAGGAGAAAACGCCCTGCCCTCTCTTGCGTTTGAGACAGGGTCCTCTCTAGGTACCTAACTGATCTGAAACTCATAATCCTCCTGCCTCCGCTTCTGAATCAGCCCCAGTCCCTCTCTGTGGTGTTGTCTCTCTCCCCTCACCCCGCCCCACCCCACCCCCAGTCTCCTTTTGAGACAGGGTCTCCTGTGTTCCAGGTTGGCCTCGAAGATGACCTTAAGTTTGCTTCTACCTCTAACCCCACAGTGCTGGGATCACAGTCGGTCACCGCCAAGTCCGGTTTGTGCGGTGCTGGACTCGAACCCACAGCTTCGCGCACGCTGAGCAAGCACTCCGCCAGCTAAGGCCCACCTTCTCCCTTGGCGCCCCCGTTCCACCTTCGCGGCCCTGGAAAGACGGGGACACAGGAGAAGCGGGGCGCGGCGGCTCCGGGCTCCGGGGCGCGCACACCCCACCTCCCACCCCGCCTGCAGCCGAGGGACGCGGAGGCGGCGGACTTGGGGACTCTCCCGGGAACTCGCCGTCCTGCCCCTGCGGGGACCCCGTCCATTTTCTACCTGCCGGTGAGAGAACTGCTGCTCCTCCTCGGCCTCCACCTCCTCCTCCTCCATCACGGCGGAGCGCCCACGGCAGGCGGTCCGCGGCCGAGTCAGACTTTCCCGCCCTACGTCCGCGACGGGCCGCGCAGAGGGTCAAAGAGCGAAGCTCCTCCTTCCTGCCCGCGCGCGCCCCCTGGCGGCGGCTTGCGGAAGGGTCTTGCAGGAGTTGGTGTGACCCCAGGGCCGCACCCTAGCCGCTGTCTCAAGGCCTGTCGCTTCCTTGACCATCTGTAAGAACATGCATGAAATAGCTCAGTGGTTAGCAGTAGTTGAGAGCACCTGCTGCTTTATCGGGGATCCAGCACCCACATCAAGTGGCTCACAGAGAGAGCACCTGTAATCCCACCTCTAGGGGATACAATGTCCTCCTTTGGTCGCCATGGGTACCTGCATGCACACGCACTTAATACACACATGCATATACATAAATAATAAAATGTTTAAAAAGATTATGGGGGCTGGAGAGATGGCTCAGTGGTTAAGAGCACTGACTGCTCTTCCAGAGGTCCTGAGTTCAATTCCCAGCAACCACATGGTGGCTCACAACCACCTGTAATGAGATCTGGTGCCCTCTTCTGGCCTGCAGGGACACATGCAGGCAGAACACTGTATACATAATAAACAAATAAATCTTAATAAATAAATAAATAATAAAAAATAAAAAGAATATGTATGTGCTGGTGTGGTGGTGCATCTCTTTAATGCACTTGGGAGTCAAAGACACATGGATCTGTACGAGTTCAAGACCGGTCAGGGCTACACTACAGGTTCTGTCTCAAACTAAAAAACAAAACAAAAACCCCAAGCATGTATAGCCCACAATTAACAAATGATAAAACATTGGGCCCGCAAGATGGCTTGGTGGGTAAAGGCACCTGCCGCTGAAATCTGCTGCCCTACGTCGGATCCCCAGAGCCCACCGAGAAGGAGAACTGTCCTCTGGCCTCCACTGTGTGCTCACACTCACACGCACCATACACACCACAGCTAATTAATGTAAATTATTGAATGCCGTGCTTTCTATGGTGAACTCTATACACGTGCAACCTCAGGATGCTTGGCAAAGAGCCATGGATTCCTATAGTCCTTCCACCAACAACAGTGACGAAATCAGAGACCACAGCCCAAAGCTATCCATTCAGAGTGGACGGTTCCCATTGCAGGGTCTGCGGTGAGTCTAGCAGGAAGGCTGGTTGAGTCTCCCTTACGTTGAAATACATAATGAGATGGGTAGTGAGATGACTCAGCATTAATAACACCTGCTGCTCTTGCAGCGAGCCGGGGTTTGGTTTGCAGCCCCCACGTGGTGGTTCGTGCCTGTGATCACTGTTTCAAGGGATTCAACACCCTCTTCTGACTTCCAAGGGTACCAGGCACACACACAGTGTACAAACATGCACGTAGGCAAAACACATATACGTATAAAATAAAAATAAACCAATCTCTAAAAAGTAAGAGTCAGTGGTAGAGCTCTTACCTAGCATGCTTGGGTCCCAGGTTTGATTCCCAGCCCTCGAGGGTGGAGACATGAAGCCAGGGTGGATCTTCCTTCCTTCCTTCCTCCTTCCAGGACAGTCAGGGCAACCCTCTCTCTAAAAAATATAAAAATAAAAAAATAAAAACAGACACAAACAGGAACTTGAGGATGATGTATTAGTGTTTAAAAGGGAAACCCGAGGACAGGCAAGCTGTGAACCTCATAGAGAATGGTAACAGTGCCCTGTGGAGTCAGCCACATGGTCTCAGCCTGCCATGCTATGCTAACCCATGCTAATGCCATATGAGAAGACCACTGGCAAGCCTTTTTGTTCATGTATACAGGCTGTTTCACCCTAAAGGTGGGGTGTTGTGGGAGATTTGTCACACTGACACTCTAAGACTGCCAATAAAGTTTCCCTTGAATCAGAGTGCAGAGTTGGCGATTGGCTGACTGAAATTAGCCATAGAGATTTTGGAGATAGGGAGAGACGTAGAGAGATACCCTTTTTGATCTGGGAAGAAGGGAGAGTTAGGGTCAGCTGATCATACTTCAGCTGCTCTTTGGATCTATCAAGTTTGTTTGTTTGTTTGTTTGTTGTTTTGTTTTTTGAGACAGGGTTTCTCTGTGCAGCTTTGCACCGTTCCTGGATCTCGCTCTGTAGACCAGGCTGGCCTGGAACTCACAGAGATCCACCTGCCTCTGCCTCCCAAGTGCTGGGATTAAAGGCGTGCGCCACCACCACCCGGCTGTTTTGTTTTGTTTTTTACCCCAGTATCTGACTCCAGATATTTTATTATTTTATTGCTATTAGAATAACTTAGATAAATGAATTAGTGGGGTTCAAGGGATCAGCATTGGATGTGATAAAGACAAGGTTTTTATAACTCAGGGCAGGTGGTTTCCAAAAGGAGGATTTGGCAGACAAGCTAGGCAGGGTTACCGGAGCAGAACATAAGCCTAACAAGTAGTCATAACGACCTCCTGAAACAAAGACATGACCTCAAGGTGCTCGCAACAAGGCGGTCAAACAATCTTCAGAAACAAAGGTAAGGTTGCAAGATGGTCCTAACAACTTTTTGAAGCAAAGACAAGGTTGTCATTCCTGGCACAGGCCACAGGAGGGGCACAGCCCAGTCCTTGAGAAACAGGTTTACTCATACCCAGGAATGAACCTAGTGTGTCTTTACTATAAGATGGCTTCCAAGCCTAAGATGGAGGCAGGCTGGTTCATCAGCTACAGGGAGTGAGCACTGGAAAAAGAGCAGGAAAGCCCTGGCCAGGACAGAAAGAGAAAGACAGAAGAAAAGGGAACAGTTCCCTGTGAGGACTCAGAAAGGGGACCGGCCACAACCCCGTGGTAGCTGTAGGGATGGCACTAGGGGGCTCCTGGACAGGAAAAGCTCATCTTAAAGTGAAGTCACCTTCCTCGGGTGTCCCAGGTCCCTGAACTATAGTTCCTCCTGAGGGAGGAGAGAAGGGTTTGTCTCCACCTAGAGGAAGATTCTATTCTTTACAGCAATAAGACCACAAGTCATTGAGTTTTGATTATTCTTTTTGTTTTAGTTTTTTTCCTCTGAAGGCCTTAATCAACCTAGCCTCCCCAGTTTTCACAGCGGGGTGTCCCTATGTGAAAACCATCTCTGTTAGCCAGGATGGTGGTGAACACCTTAGGCTGAGGCAGGAGAATAGCAAGCTCAAGGCCAGCTTGGGTTACTGAGCAAAACTGTCTCAAACTGGCCCACACCAGAGGCAGGCCGATCTCTGTGAGTTCTAGGTGAGCCTGGTCTACAGAGCGAATCCAGGAAAGCCAAAGCTGCACAAAGAAACCCTGTCTTGGGGGAAAAAAAAAAGGAAGCAAAATTGTCAAAACACACTCTTTGTTCCCCACATGCTGTCTGGTGTTGAAGTGGCCAATTCCCAGGGTTAATGAACATCATTGTGGTGACCTGTGGAGTTTGAGAGTCTAAGAGCAGGCTGGGTCTGAGGCAGCATATTGCAGGATGGTGGTGTACTTAGAAACTATTTCTAAGTGATGGTGCAGGAGCCTAGATTGGCCACTAGATGTCACCATCGTTCCATTGTGATCCAGGTCAGGCGTGCCTGGCTGGAATATTGTCCTTAGCACTGAGTGGGGCCTTGTCACCCACTCAGACCCTAGGTGCTCACTTCCTCTCACTGGCCGGTGTGAGCCCCACTTCACAAGTAGAAACAGTTACAAGTACAAAAGAATTCTTCATGGGATTAAACTGCTTGGAAGTGGTAGAGGCTGGATTTGATACCACAGATGAGCCATGTCCACACTCCAGCCCCCTGCTCACTTCCCATCATCCTCAGCACAAGTAAGACATGCATTAAACACGACACCACAAATATCAGCTCAATAGCACCTCTTACCGGTTTTCCCTTAAGTTGAAGTGTAAAGTATGGTTTTGGAAAGCAGTCTCCACTAATGACTAACAAACACGTCAGAATTTCCTGCTTCCCTCACCCCTGGGAAATGGCACCCACCAGGCACATAGCAGTTGTGCAGTTAATGTGATAAAGACTGGAGGGGGATCTGGTTTGTACATAGGAGAGGTAAGACAGTCTCATTGGCTGGACCTTGGCATCAGGTGGCGAGGGTTGAACAACTTAACCTCTTGTGATTCATCTAGCAGTTGGAGATGATGGCACTGAGTCCAGAGAGAGCAGAGGATTAAGAAGTCCGCTAACATGTGGAGCGTGTAGGCTTGACACACACTGTCTTAGGTACGTGCCCTACATTGGCCCTCAGAAAACCCCAAGCGAGGTGCAGGTCTCCCATCTCCGCGACAGCAAAACTTCCTCTCTAGAAGGGGTATGAGTGGCAAGTGATAGTTTCTGAAGATTGCAGGATGTGAGCTAGCGACAGGCACTTCTGGTCCCAAGAGGATCTGGTTATTACCTCCCTCTCCCCGTCTCCCACTCCGTTGTTTTTTGAGACGGGGTTGTCACACGCACCTGGAGCTGGCTATATAGCTCAGGGTGACGGTAAACTTTTTTTAAAGATTTCCATTCTTTTATGTGTATTGTAGCATGAATTGTTAGAAGGTCTTATTAAATCAAACCCGGGGCCATTATTGGGGTGAAATGCTGGATGGTCAGAGAGACAGAACAAGCCACAGCTATCTCACCTGGCCAATTCCTCAGCTGGTCTTGTTTCCTCAGACTGGAAGCCTCTGTGTCCTCATCCCAATGGCTCTCAGCTGAACTGTGCTGCTAGAAGTCTGAAAGCGTAACCAGCCAAATGCTTCCAGTTTCTGGTTCTCACGCCTTATACCTTTCTGCTTTCTACCACCACTCCCTGGGATTAAAGGCATGAGTCACCATGCCTGGCCGTTTCCAATGTGGCCTTGAACTCACAGAGACCCAGAGGGATTTCTGCCTCTGGAATGCTAGGATTAAAGGTGTGAGTGCCACCATTTTCTAGCCTTTGTATCTAGTGGCTGTTCTGTCTCTGACCCCAGATAAGTTTATTAGGGTGCACAATATTTTGGGGAACACAATACCACCACATTGTATGGGTGTTTGGCCTGCATGTATGTGTTCTGTGTGTCTGGTGCCCTTCAAGGTCAGAAAAGGGCACTGGATCCTCTGGGCTTCACACATACCTTTTAATCCCAGTGTTTGGGAGGCATACTGGCAGATCTCTGCAAGTTCAAGGACAGCCTGGTTTACACAGAGAGTCCCAGACAAGCCAGGAGCTACATAGTAGTAAAACTTTGTTCTTTGAAAAAAAAAAAAAAAAGGCCTTGGGAGGGTAATGCCTGGTATTATAAATGTGATTTAAAAAGAAGACAAGCCCAGGAGGTCACAGGCTCTGGGGGAAACGCGACCTCTGTAGTTTTACTAAATGAACATGTTGGTAAACTGTCTTCTGAGTATTCATGTGCACACCCACGGGTTGTGCTGCTCTCGGCCTTGACCAGAGAAGCTTCTTCTGTAGTGGG